ATGAAATATTGTTTGAAGAAAAACCGCAGAGAGCAAAGTTGGTTTGAACGTGTTAGTTATTTTATCTCTTCTAATACATATTAATAAGTATAATTTTATAACTTTTTAATGATTTAATTAATATTACATAATATGATTCAAAACTTACCTAAATTACTTTTAAAAAGTTTTAAAAACTTAAATTTGCCAATTCTTTGAAACTCTTGTGTCCATCATTGTTTCCACGACTTTTTTTTATCTTTTTTAACTGATTGATCAATAAAAACAAAGATTATGATTCAGAGTTTTTTATTGGATATTGGATATTGAAAGAAATATTGTTGGTGTAGATTTATTTGTTTTTAACGTAATAAATTTTATTAATTTAAAATATTTTTCAATTAATTTTTAATTTACTGCTCCGCTCTGTATATAATTGGTTAACTACGCACTCAATAGATGCCGCCCGAGTTTGGAACGTCAAATTTATGTCAAATGCGTCAAACTTCTATTCATCAATTTACAAGAAGTCCAAAAAGTGAAAAAAGAGACGTGAATGTGCACGAAATCTGTGTAAAAGTTTGCCATTTTCAGCTTCTAGTTTAATAAAATTAAAGTAATCTTTGAGTAATTCTCCAAAAAGTTTCAATTCGGTCATCTCCATCTCTCATTGATTTTGTTGGTTATGTACACTTGTCAAACATTCCGTTTTTAAACAAATAATTATTGTTCGCTTTAAAGATCTTAAAAATGTTGCCTCGTTGTTATTTATTTGCTAAACATATGTGTCAAAGAGCCGCCGTTTCCAGCTGTGAGAAAAACTGTTCCATTACACTTAGTAATATTAATGTTGGGTAATAGGAAGAGAAGCTTTAATTATTTTTTTTTCAGATGTAGCAGTCAGACAACTTTATTTATTACATAGAAATACTCAAATAATTTCTTTAAATTCACACCACACTCGACAGTTTACATGGACACAAAACTTGCTTAAAAAACGGGATACAGGTAAACAAACAGCTGACCAAGGAGTAGACACTAACGAAGTAGTAAATAGTAAAACGACAGATAAAGATAAGAAGGTTGAATCGCCAACGCCTGTACTTAAAATAATAGCTCCAGAAATTCAATCTAACACTAACACTAAATCAAAAGATAAAGTCGTATTAGACAATGTCATGGAACACAGCTTAGACAAAAAAGTAGCCAAGCCCGTAATATCAGAACCGATAAAAAAGTTAAAAGAGAAAATAATTGGTATTAGTGAAAAATCCGAGGAAGGTGCCACATTCAAAAAACGAAAATTATTCACACATTACAATTTTCTCTTTTCAGGAAAAGCGCAAACTAAAAAGAGAAAGCGCGTTGATCTATCTGCACAATCACTGGAACGAAATTTCATAACTCCTGTAAGAGCCATGTCTGATTTTTTGTTGAAACCATCCGATTTAGAGTCTTTACCTAAAACAAAACGGCGTTCACCTTATGAAAATGAGCCACCAATCACAGTCTACTGGCGCAAGGATGTGGAAGCTAAAGCTTTAAGTATCTGGGGCTCCAGAGAAAATCTCCAAAAGGAACTGATTAAGAGAGATATCGAGAGAAAAAAATACCAACAAAGTGTGTAACAAACATTAATCCAAATTAAGTGTAAGTTTTTTGTTTCAGATATTTTTACAATGAAGAGACGATTGCGTGATTATAGACGCGAACTGGGTCGGTCGGCAAACGTGGAGACTGATGGGGGCATTATGGGGCGATCGGGGAAAGTAGTACTGACAGCAATTGCCATGTAATTTTTTGTTTACTCTTTTTTTAGTTTTTTAATTGACTTATTTACAGTAATGGGACAAATTGTCTTTTTAAATTATTTGCTTGGTTGTATACAGGGTCACACAGTATGTTTTCCGAATGTATACACTCTTTAGCCGATACTATAAATCAACTAATTTTGGCCTATGGCATTCATAAATCGGTCCAGGTATCATTGTGTAATTTTTTTTCCAATTTTTGTAATTTTTATTTCAGGTAGCCGACTCTTATCACCCATATGGGTACACAAACATGAAATACGTGGCCTCCCTAATATCAGGAGTTGGGATTTTTTGTGTGGGAACCGGTCTGTCTTTATACCATGGTATTTCAGGTCTAGTCAATCCCCAACCCATTGATGACTTTTTTTGGGTAATTTAATCGAAAAATATGTCTGTAGTGATAAATTCAAACTTGCAGGCTTATTTTATTTTGGGGGGTTCCGTCGTTTCCGAAGGTGCAACTTGGTTAGTTGCGTACAATTCCATCCGTCGAGGTGCCCGTAATATTAACATGTCTGTTAAAGATTACAGTAATGTCTAAAATTTCGATTCGAATAAATATTCATTTGTTGTTTTAAGTTTTACGCTCACAGGACCCAAGCGTAAATGTTGTTCTTCTCGAAGATTTCGCAGCTGTTGTTGGTGTTGTGGTTGCAGCTGGGTGCATGGGTTTGTCCTCGTTGACCAATAGTTCGATTCCTGACGCTTTTGGGTCGCTGCTTGTCGGCTGTATTTTAGGATCAGTTGCTTCGTTTATTATTTATACGAATGTTGCTGCACTTGTTGGCCGGTATTGGCGTCAAAAATGTTTTTCGAGTGTTTAGTAACTTTATTTAGTTCCATACCCGAGGAAAGTTTGGATAAAATTAACACTGAGTTAGAGAGCGATGTTATGGTACGAGCGATCCATGACGTCAAAGGTATTGATATGGGGAATTATTTGGTGAGGTATAAGGCCGAGTTGGATTTTGACGGACGGGAATTAACGAGGTCTTATTTGGATAAGCAAGATTTGAACGAATTGCTTGAAGTAAGTTGAAATAAATTTGTTTTATTTTTGGTGGATTTGCAAATTTAATAGGAGGCAAGACGTTTGGAAAATATTGATCAGTTTGAAGAGTTTATGTTGAAACATGGTGAAAATATTGTTGATATGATGGGAGGGGAAATTGATAGGATTGAAATGAAATTAAGGGTAAGTATAATATTTGGGCCTTATCCTCTCTTTTTTGATAATGATAGTGGAATTAATTATTCTCTCATTTTTTTCAGAAAAAACATCCCGAGATTAGACATTGTGATCTAGAAATTCTTTAAGTATTGAAATGAGTGTTAAATAAATATTTCAAAGAATTTGTCTTTTTTTGTCAGAATAAAGCATAAGCAGTATTTACATTTGTGACAAATGCCATATTATTTTTTATATTTTATTTTTCTTCCAAAGCTTTGTCAGTCTGTCAGGCGGTGTTAATAAAAACTTAAACAAGCGTAATTTGTTTAAATTACACCTCAAACTATTTATTGTCATGAAAATCTATTGTCAATTAGGAGAGAGAAATATAAAAAAAAATCTGTCAGTAGTGATAGATGCGAATCATAAATAAAATACAAAAATTGATGAAAACAATAATATTTCGAGTTCATTCTGCCGTTTGTAACTCAAAAATTAAAATTCAGTTATAATTAAAGATCACAAAAGTAATAATAACACAAAGTGTTTATAATCGACTCGTATACGTGAGAAGATAAAGTTTCCCTTTTCATCTTTATTATTGGTCAACAACAATTATCTCGCTATACACAAATTTTTCTTATCCACTCAAATATACAATCACGCACCAATCATTATTCCTGGCATTTTCATTACGTTAATGCATACAATGAATTAACAGTTAGCCCGAGGTGTTTAACAATAAATGAACACATTCAACCAAAACCATTACAAGCACCTTTCTCGCAGAAAAATGTTTATACCGGTTGTGATCTTATGCATGTGATAAAAATATATTCTGTAGTAAAACTGAACTTGAGTGCTAATTCGATAAAAGTGATAATTACCATCAACCAAACTTGTTACTTCCATACACCGTCTGACCTGAATACAAAATTCCGACAGTCGCGCAAAATTTGATCTCTTGACTTCTAATCGATCTAGTATGTGCAAAATTTTCATCTTCCTTCTATTTGCAATAATTGAAGCAAGTAGCGAGAGGCCAAATGTGATTTTTATCATTGCGGATGATTTGGTAAGTCCCAGTTTCCCAATTTATGTCGGTAATAATATTTCAAGGGGTGGAATGACGTCGGTTTCCACGGCTCGGGTCAAATCCCGACGCCCAACATCGACGCATTGGCTTACTCTGGTCTAATTCTGCAAAACTATTACGTCACACCGATTTGCACCCCCTCTCGGAGTGCCCTAATGACCGGAAAATATCCCATTCACACCGGAATGCAGCACACTGTGCTTTTCGGTGCTGAACCTCGAGGGTTACCCTTGACGGAGAAAATTCTCCCGGAGTATTTGAAAGAGTTGGGGTATACTAACCGACTAGTGGGGAAATGGCATTTAGGTTCCTACACGAAGGAATATACGCCGCTATATCGCGGTTTTGACTCACATTTGGGTTATTGGACTGGTCATCAGGATTATTACGATCACACTGCTGTCGAAAACCCGGGTTGGGGGTTTGATATGAGACGGAATATGGACTTGGCGTACGACCTCCACGGGCAATACTCGACTGATGTTTTTACGCAAGAAGCGGTCAAAATTATAGAAAATCACAATACGACTAATCCACTTTTTCTCTACTTGGCTCACGTTGCTGTTCATTCTGCCAACCCTTATAACCCTTTACCGGCTCCTGATGAAACTGTTGAAAAGTTTTCAAACATTCCGGATTACAAGAGACAGAGATTTGCAGCAATGTTATCAAAATTGGACGATTCTGTCGGTGCTGTGATTGAAAGCCTTTCAAAAAAAGGAATGTTGAAAAACTCGATTATCATTTTCTCGACTGATAATGGAGGTGCAGCTGCTGGTTTTAATTTAAATGCTGCGTCGAATTTCCCCTTGAGAGGGGTCAAGAATACGTTGTGGGAGGGCGGCGTCCGAGGGGCAGGACTGTTGTGGAGTCCCCTCATAAAACAACCCCAAAGAGTAGCTCATCAATTCATGCACATCAGTGATTGGTTACCGACTTTGCTAAGTGCAGTGGGAGCAAATTCAAGGTACAAGTAAGTACTCAAGATAAATTTTAATTTTAATACAAATGATTTAGTATAAAAAATATTGATGGACTTGATCTTTGGGAACCTTTATCTCAAAACAAAAACTCTCCCAGAAGCGATATTTTACACAACATTGACGACATTTACGGAAATGCGGCTTTAACAGTCGGGGCTTGGAAACTCGTCAAAGGTTTTGGTTTTTTTAATCGATTTTGTTCCCAATTTTGAGTTTCAGGAACCACTTATAACGGTGCCTGGGACGGTTGGTACGGCCCTTCCGGCCGCGACTACACTTACAACGTATCATTAGTTGTGAATTCTCCAACGGGAGTTGCTTTAAAATCAATCAATATGTCTTTAGTCCCTGAAGAAATAACAAAGTTGCTCAACTCCTCTCGAATTGACTGTTCAATGGATAAAGAGCCAATTCCGTGCAAACCACTTGAAGAAACTTGTTTGTTTAATGTGATTCAAGATCCTTGCGAATTGAGAAATCTTGCCAAAGAGTACAGTTTTATTTTTGTGTTGGTTAAAAGTGAATGAAATAATTGCAGGAATCCGAAAATTGTAATGAATTTAGAAGAAGCGCTTAATAAATATAATAACACAGCAATTCCCCCTGGAAATTTGCCCCTGGATCCTAGAGGCAATCCGAAATACTGGAATTACACATGGACGAATTTTGGGGACTATATCAAAGAAAATAAATTAACGTATCGAGTGGAAATTTTGTAATAAAAATATTTGTACAATTGTGCGTGTTTTTCTGATTTCTTGGTAACATTTTATGTGGTTATTGGGAACAAAAAGCAATGAAAAAACACTTGAACCAGATGTGAAAAGGATGTGGTGTCTCTTAACGACTAACATGTGACGTAAATACAAAATCAAACTTAGTTTTACAGTTTTTATTCATAATAATCAAATTAAAAAAGTATCATTGTACAAAATAATAAATTAGGCGTCTACAAGATTGTTTATTATTCTTTCACGCACCTGGAAATTAAACAACATAAATCTCTTGTAACATTAAACAAGTTTCTTGACTTACCTACACTCCTCGCGCTTCCATACAGTTCCAGTAGTACAAACTTTTTCCCGTTTGCAGCCACAAGTACAGTCCTTTGACTTCCATTTAAAATTCATATTAATTTTCTCTAAACATCTTTCTTCTTCTTCCTAACAAAAACAAATTACGAAAAAATAGACTTGACTAAGGACAACTCACTTTATTTGTACAAACACATTTACACAAAATTGGGTCAAACTTCTGGTCGGTTAAACATTTTTTCTTTTGGGGACATCCACAGTTGCACTCAATGTCTTCAGGAACTTTGATTCGGTTACAGTAATTCATCCCAGTTTTAATTTTAACGCTTCTGACGTAAAATTCAGCGTCTGTTTTCCTAGTTGGAAGACACTTTTTTCCACCGGTGCACATGCCTCCGCAACGATTGACAACAAAAGTGTTTGGATACACCTTGAAGCCATCAGGAGCGCTAACTTCAACCACTGTTTCTCTCGGTTTACACTTGATTTTTTTCCGAAGTTCTTTCAGAGCTTGTGTAACGTTGGAAGACTTACAAGTAACTATCAAATATTAATTATTTTAATTAGATAGCGCTAGAATAATGCTGTTTTACCTGGAGTGGTACTTAAAGACGAACTAGTCCATTTTCGGGCTGTTATTATCGGTGGAATTTTCAAAGCGTAAGTCGGGTATTTTACAGTAACTTCCGATTTTTCTAAAACATCATTGTCCGTATATTTATTTTTTCTTCGTTTGGTAGAAATCGAAACAGTGAATATCAACACAAGGAAAATCACTTGCATGCACTTCATTGCACGTCTTTCTTGGATCACAGTTGATAATAAAATGCCGAGAAAATTGTAAATCTTGACTTCTCAACGACGTTTTTTATTTAAATTTCTACAAGAATTACGTCTTGTTCTACGCAATCACAGATGTGTTAAAACTGGGGATCTTTTTAAATATTTATTACTGTAAGACAATTGTTTATTTCGGAAGAATTATTGCGATTCGATTTAAGTGTTCTATCAAAAAAATATCAAACTGTTAAGTTTCCTGCCTTGTGGTTCTTACCCACATCCCTTTATTTTCTCAAATTTTGATCTACTTTTATCATCGTGTAAATATTTTCTTTTCTAATTATATCAACAAAGATTTGTTTTATAATCAAAATTTTATGGGAAATTCTTTACGCCCCATAAAACCATACCTACCTATACCATTATTTTTAGACTGGAAGTTTTTTAACAATGCTGGTAATTTCCCGTTCCGGTTCAACAGTGACGCCAATTTATTTTTACAGTAATCAGACGTCATATTCGACAAATAAATTAAAAAAAAAATTAAATTAAGTCGTTTTTCTCCCGTCATGAACTTCAATTTAACGATTGTATACCCGACTAGTAAAAAAATAAATTTTGCTCCTTCATGTTTGTGTCGTAAAAATCGTTGATGGAGTTGCGGTAATTCAAAAATAATTCGATTCCACGCATACCCCCGAGTTCGCAAGCGCGAATCAAATCGATTTTGCAGGGGTAGTTCCCTCGTAGTCACACATTTCGGGTGTCTTTAAAATTAATTATGTTTGTGCTTATAACAAAATGATACGTACTTGGTGCTAAACGTTGTTACAACATGGCTTTTGCAAACAATCCCAGTTTGAAAACCCCGACTGTTTTAGAACAGTTACTGGAAGAAATCAATTTTCAACGTACTAAAGAAATGCGACAACTGTTAAAAGATGGTAGTGACACGAAATTGGGAAATTTATTTTTGATTAATTCGTTTTAGATTCGGGTTTTGTTATGTTGCAAGGTACGACGTACTGGACCGATTTATTTGTCCGGCATTTTTTATTCCAAAATGAATCGACCATCGACTGCGACGATTTGTTATTTTTTGTGAGGAAGAAACACGTCAAAGGGTCACCGAGATATTTACCCAAATTTGAAGTAATCAATTAATCAACGAGTGAAATAAAGTAATTAATTCATTTTAGACGGAAGTTGATGTTTTCCGAAAAGACAGTCGAAAATTACCAATCGGGGATCCCGATATCGATTGGGAGGAAACAGTGTATTTAAATTTAATTATTCATCAATTTGAATACACTTTAACACTAGCCATTTGTACACGAACCAGTCCGAAAGAACTACAAGTCCTCAAACGACACTCCCAAAAAGTCTACGCGTCTCCAAGTCGTCGAAGAATGGACACAAAGGGCGAAGTGGAGGAGATGACTTACCCCCATATTTGTTTTATGGTGGACAACTTCGACGAAGTCTTCCACGACATTCTCGTCCGCGATGGTGAAATGGTTTGTGTTGAGTTGGTGGCCGCTGATAGGGCGGGTACAGTCCAAGGGGTGATTTTCCTGGGGTCAATACGATACGACGCCCTTAAGAAAGTCTACGATGCGAGGGTATGTGTAACCCTTTAAGTAAAATTAAAATTATAAAACCCATTCCAGCAATCTAGTTTGAGCACGAAAATGGCCCAAAGAATGACTTTCGGTCTATTTTCAAATGCGAGTAGCCAGCGCTGTGAGTTTGTTCGAATGAAAGGGCCACAGGGTAAAGGTCATGCGGAAATGGCAGTGACCAAGCCCAAGGGTTCAGGGGTCGAAACACCGACTTCGGAACCCGGGTTTTGCGCCACTGATTTGTGGGATTCAGACTGGGATGAAGATCCGGAAGAGTTCTACGTCTACAGGAATCAAAGAAGATTAAGTGACCCAAGTGCTAATATTAATAATTTTGTTCGTGGGGGGTGGAAGTCGAAGCTGGATGCGAAATGTCGGTCTGAAAGTGAAGGCTTGGATTGCATCGATAACGGTGTCAGTGAGATCGAAGCCGGCGATTTGCGAGACGGTAAGAATTTTTGGTTTTTGTTAGTTAATTGGATATAAGAAGCAGGACTCGAGTCGAAATTTTGATCTAGGGGATTTGGTAGATTAGAAATAACTTGTTCTTTTCTTGTAGAGAGGTCCGGTCCTGCTTCTACATCCAAGTCGAGTTGCTGCGGTTGTTTCCAAAAGAGAAAACGAGGTTCAATAACTCTGCTGGAGATGTATAGTAGGACGTGCATGGATCCGACCAAATGTGCTCAAAGGGCACCTTTGGGACCTTCTGATAACAAATGTTCCTGTCAACCACAAATTAACAATTTAATGAACCAATCCGAGTACGAAGTTGAGAAAGAGAAAAAGAAGGCTCGAAAAAAATCCAAACAGATACGTGAAAATGCCAATTATGCCGAATTCGAGTTTGCCGATGATGCAATTAGTTTAAATAATGAAAGTTTTGACGAACGACCCTTGAGTCGCAACTCWAACTCTTCGATTAAAGAACCTTCAGCGACCGATAATCCCTACATAAATGTKAACGGCAAAGAGGAACTCCCATGTGTTGAAGAAATTCGCAAGTATTGCATATCTGACAATATATCAGCATCACCAAAAACCAAGACTGAGTCTAAGATAATTATCACAAAACCCAATAATGTAAATAACGAAAGAATTACATTTAATCGAAATTTTGACGGCAACTACAATAAGCTATCGATTAAGAGCATTTACAGTTATTGCACTTTGCCTAAAAATAGGAAATTTGTTAACAATCACAGAAACCACTACGTTCGCCATATCGCCCCTCCGAAACGAATCACACCCGATGGGACACACATTTATTATTGGTGTGATTTAAAGAGGGGACATAACGGTAATTTAGTCTTAGTTGACGATTTTTTTGTTCCAGAAAAGTGAAGTTTTTTTTTGTTATAGAACTGGACGATGGGGCTTATAATCCATTATGGACGATGCGGGGATTCACTCAAACGTTTCACTTTTGGAAAGAAAACAAAAGGGCACAATCGGTGCCCTTGAACGCTTTTTTGACCTATGTTACATTGCCTTGGTGGAGCATCGCTAAAGGTGGGTTCACTTGAGACCCAATTTGTACTCAATTCTAATTTTCAGATATACTCGACCATCGAGAAGGTCCAATTCTGACGTTTTAGTACTTTTGTCGATTCTGTGATTTTTATAAAGTTTATTTTGAAACTACAATTCAAACCGAATATAAAAGAGTTCTACGCCAGGTTTGAGCTGTGATATTAATTTAAAATAAATGTATGTTTATTACAGTAAATTGAACGTTCTTTCAGACTTGTCTTTCATTGCTTTGTTTGGTTATTTTAATCTTAGGTCATGAGATAAGAAGTCTGAGGATAAAACCTCCAGAATATCTCATAACAATTCAGTTCCATCACTGCCAATATGTTAAAACCATTACTGATTCTCCTATTTTATTTCGTGTGTTTTGTTTGGTGCTGCATTCGGGAGCCAAGCATCTACCACTCAAAAGTACCCAAATTGCCGGGCGATAATGGTTTCCAAATCCGAATTAATGAAAATCCGGAAAAGTATATCCCGGGCAAAGTTTACACCCGTAAGATATTTTCACGTTATCAGTCACCCAATTTCTTGTCAATTTTGTTATTTCCTAGTTTATTTAATGGGTTTAAAGACTCACAACAAATTACAACACTTTAAACGCTTCACAATCAACGTCGAGGCGACCAATGAGCCTGGCAACTTATCACCACAACGAGTCGGTAGCTTTCAGTTATTCAGCGATTCGATTTCTAAATTTAACGAGGAATGTGTAAATACAATTTCCGAAAGCAATGATTCGCCAAAAACCGAGGCCTTCTTCATGTGGGCTGCCCCTCCACCAGGCTCAGGTTGTGTCACCTTCAAGGCCATGGTCCTGCAGGATTCCACTCACTGGTATGCCGATGAGGGCAACCTTACTAAAACTTTCTGCGAGCAAACGGAAAAAGACATAAAATTGGATGAAAACGACTGTTGTGCTTGTGACGAGGCCAAATATAGCGTAATAGTTTCAGAGTCTTGTGATAAGATAAAAAGTATTGGATTGTAGATGATTTTTGAAGGTATTTGGTCGAACAAAACACACCCCAAGGATTTTCCGTTTTCCTTGTGGCTGACTCACTTCTCAGATGTAATTGGGGCGTCGCACGAGAAGAATTTTAGTTTTTGGGGTGAAGGCCAAATTGCTTCTGAAGGGTTCAGAAGTTTGGCGGAATGGGGGTCTGTAAGGCTTTTGGAAACTGAATTAAGGGCCAAAAGTAAATATTTGAGAACTATTATTAAAGCAGCTGGATTGTGGTACCCAAATGTCAATACTAACACTTCGGCTAATTTTAGAGTCGACAGGCGACACCATTTGATTTCTTTGAGTTCAATGCTTGGTAATAACATTTCGATTGTTGTTTCTTTTTCTAAGATTTATATTAGGGCCTTCTCCGGATTGGGTTGTCGGAGTTAACGGTTTAAATCTTTGTCTCAAAAACTGTACTTGGATTGAAGATTTGATCATCGATCTCTTTCCATACGATGCTGGAACTGATAGTGGGGTCTCATACATGGTTAGTAGGTAGCCATTCTTTTTTTTTTTAATTACTAAATCCAGATTTAGTCACCAAACGCTGAAACGAAACCGAGAGAACGCATGTATCGCATCACTACGACTTATCCTGAAGATCCCAGAGCCCCATTTTACGACCCCTCGAAAAAAGAAATGACACCCCTAGCTCGACTTTATTTAAAACGCGAAAAGTTAATTCCGAAAAATTGCGATGAAAACTTCCTAAACGCCCAACTTGACTTTAGTGAAAACACTGAAGAAGTTAACAGACGTAACTTCTCATTTCAATAATTTCATTATTGTAAATCACTTATTTTAGCCGAATGTGCTGTCACCGAATATAACGAATGGAGTGAGTGTTCCGTCACTTGTGGTAAAGGTTTGCGAATGAGAAGTCGCGAATATCGAATGCCTCAAAAAGCCAAAATGTTCAATTGCAACCGCCAACTGATTTCGAAAGAAATGTGTGTGGCTACAGTGCCAGAATGCGATGGAGGAACCCCCGACGAAGAAGAAGAATCAATCGACGATATTCCCTTAGAGAACAACGAAGGATTTTGCGCGACTTCTCCTTGGGGACCTTGGTCCGAATGTTCCGCCACTTGTGGAGTGGGTTTTAAAATGCGTACTCGACTATTTATCGACAGAATGGGTCGGAAAAAGTGCCCACATGTCACTGTTGTAGAAAAGGAGAAGTGTATGGGGCCCCCTTGTACAGCTGAACAAATTGAAATCCCTGATCCCATGTGCCCCACAACTGACTGGAGTGACTGGAGTCCTTGCAGTGCTTCCTGTGGGAAAGGAGTTAAAATGAGGACTCGGTTGTTATTGGTGGAGCCAGGATTGCAACAAAAATGTAGTTCGAGGGTGGAATTAGTGCAGCAAGCACCTTGTATGGACACTCCTGATTGTACCATAGACATGGCAACAGCCAAAGGTGAGTAAATCCCCGAAAAAAATTTATCTACTTTAAAATTTCCAGTCATTTGTATGCAAGAAAGTGAGCCTGGACCTTGCACTGGTTACTTCAATCGTTGGTATTTCGAACCCCGGAAAATGATGTGTGTTCCGTTTATTTATGGAGGTTGTAGAGGAAACAGAAATAATTTCTTAACGGCTCAGGAATGTATGGAAGCGTGTCAAGTAGTAAGAGGTGACCAGTTAATTGGTGATCAAACTAGTTATTAAATTGTTTTTATTTTATAGATGCTTTGAAGGGAAATATCAATAATGAAAATGTAAATTCGAATCCGTCAGCAGTTGCGTCCAGTAGCGGAAATAATGACAGATTTGTTGATTGTATGGTTTCGGAATGGTCCCCTTGGTCTCAGTGCAGCGTAACTTGTGGGATCGGAATTTCCGAAAAGTTTCGAATGGTGAAAAGACCAGCAGAAAACGGAGGGCGACCTTGTCCCTCGAGACTCGTCAAAAAGAGACGTTGTAGAGGACCTCCTTGCGTCTAACAATCATTAATAACTCCTTATTTACTTAAAAATGACATTAGGGCCATTGTTATATTTTAAAGCAATAAACGACTTAAAGGAAGCTTGTTTTTATTCCCCTACAAATAGTTTCCCGCTGATATTCAAATATGACTCGTCGTTGGCGAAACTAACAAATCGCTAAAAGTCCCTAGTTGGAAAACTTTSTCCAGTTCCCCACTAAAGTAGTTTTGTTTACGTGCGCCAAAATTTGTATATAAAATAGGTTCAAAAATGCAGAAAACCTGCTTATTTTGTAGAAACACTCGCGTTTTTGATATACACAAGGATTTTGGAAACAATAGCCACACTGCGAAAAACGATATGTTGGAATTTTTTGGTTATCAGGTGGGTACAGAGTTTCAGGAAAAAATAACCTATAGTTACAGAAAATCAAAACAGTTCAAGTAATTAATATTACTTGAATTAATATTACATTAGATATTACCAATATTACGCTTTAATATTGTTTTTTTGTAGATTGAATCCTTCTTGAGACCTGATGATAAAATTTGCAATACCTGCATGAATATCATGGATAACGTCGCTAAATTAAAGCGTCGGCTTTTACCTCTTATTTTCCGATCAGAACCGTCCAATATGGAGGAAGATTCCAAGCCTATAAATTTGGGGAAAAAATGGGATATTTTTGCTTCAATGAATTTTGATGATGAGAATGACGCATTCCTGAACTCCAGAAGCCCCACGCCCAGTAGTTTGCTCAGATGTAAACGCATTGATATTTACGAGAGCCCCAAGGAGATGAAATTTGCTGAAATAGAACGATATAGGAGCTTAAGTATTGATAACACTGCCAAGTCTTTAAAAAACTAACTCAAATATTTCAGGCCGGACTAGTTTAGCAAAATCAACCGCTGAAAGTGAAATTGTTAATGCATTATCTAAGAAACGGGGGAGGAGACGAAAGCGGGGACACAACTGGTCAAAAAGGAAAAACGGAAGATATTCACGAATCAGCACTGAGACTGAGAACAGGAGAAGTGTTATGAGTGTCTATAGCACAAGATCAACTGTGGTGTCAAGACCAATTAGYTCYATGTCTAATGTGAGTGCAGACTCGTATGAGAGTTTTTATCCTCCTGGCATGGTAGCCACTACATCAGCCCCAGCTCAAGAAAAAAAGAGGGTTCGACACGCTGATGAATATTTAGAAGATAAACCGACAAGATCTGTTGCAAAACCACAAGAGGAAGAAATATATGAATATGAATTGCATGCATGTTATGTGGATGGTTGCACTTTTTTCTGTGAAGATATCGATTTCATGGAGGAGCATAAAATTACAATACACAAACTACTTGCGTTGTTTAGATGTAATTATTGTGGCAAGAAATACACTTCAGAGTGAGTCAGTAAATTTTTATCAGAGATGAGTAATCTAATGAATTTTTTTACAGTACTGACCTTGAAATACACAAAAGGACACACTCGAAGCAATATTCTTGTGTTATATGTCACAAAGAGTTTTATTTTGATCGTGATCTCATACAACATTGGCAGGACGAACATGTTAAAAAATCAGTTCCATGCAAATATTGTGGAAAACGTTTTGTTGATCAAAATATCTGTAATAAGCACCAAAAAAATGTTCATAAAAGGAAGATTCCAAGTAGGATAGATTACAGTAAAAATGAGGAACAAAGCAATAGTCCTAATAGAGATTTTGAAGTTAGAACGTTGGTACAAGCAAACTGTAATATTTTTGAAACTACAAAACCAAAGGAAAAACCACTCCAAGTGTCTTTTGCTACTACACAACTTGAAGTTACTACGCAATGAAGTATAAAGTCATAGTATTTAAGTAGAACTTTCTCAGGTGTCCTAATAAAGAGCGTGTTCAGAGTCCTATTTGGGACACCTGTTAAACAATTTCTGTTGAGATTTTAAGTTTTATATTCTGTACACTTTCGTATTGGCTTTGTTTAGTAACAATATCAGTAACATTAAAAATATATTTTTCTATTATATTAGATTTGAGTCGTGCATTTTTTAAAAACTTAAGTTCTTCGTACTTGTTGATCTTTCGAATTATATAAATAGTTTTGTGATACTAATTTTATTAAAAATATTGAAAAAATTTTTTTTTTATTTCTAACATTTTATTTAGGTTACGCACTCATGTATACGTTCACGTAATACGTATCGTATCCGCAAACTTAAAGCACTGAACTTGTATTTCTACCAGTGTTTCTACTTTTTCTAGATTTATTTTTTACTGCAGAAGGTAGGTCTAAAGGTTTACATGCTTTGTGATAATAAGCGACTTCCACATTACTTACGTAAGTTTTAAGCAACAATATTATCAGCATAATTCACAACTTCATCATCATTAATTCATCGGAATTTAAAAACAACTATCATTAAAAAGTGTGGTTATGTTACATGTTTTTTTTTTTGCAGAATAATAACTTGGGCATTATGGTGAAAATAGGACTTCAAATCAAAGCTAATTTAGACCATGTCGAGGAACTTTACACAAATCATCCAAATTATACATTTTTGCTAAAATTAAAATGTTTAAATTGCGGCGAAACATCGGAAAAGTGGCACGGAATAACTGAATCTGAAACATTTCCAACAAAAATGGGAAAAACTGAAACTCATTATTTAGCAAAATGTAAATTGTGTGGTAGAGAAAACAGCTTGGATATAATCGAAGGCAGTAACGGTATTATAATTCCTGTGTTACACGCAAAGTTTTTCTTAATTATTTAATTTCAGCTAAATACACAAATGAGGATCAAGACAAGTTCAAAACTATCGTCGTTTTTGACTGCAGAGGCATTGAACCTGTTGAATTCACCCCCGGTGAGGGGTGGGTCGCAAAAATTGAAGAAAGCGGTAAAGTCTTTACCGACGTTGATTTAAATGAAGCAGAATGGGTTGAATATGATGATAAAATTAAAGAATCTGTTGGTGTTTACGACTTACAGTCACAATTTATTAAAATTAAATAAAACATGTAAAGAATATCACACTATAATTTTAAACCTTTGACATTATTTGATATCCGTTGAACAATTAGCTACAACTATGGTACATTTAATTGTGTGCAGTAAAAAAATCACAAGGAATGAACTTGTTTGGAGAATAATTAAGCTTTTTATTAATCACATTTATAAATCTTTGATTGCTAGAGCTTAATAAAAAAATAAAAGTCTTTCCTGGTGACTTGCGGACAGCATGTGCCACCCCCTTTTTATACTTAAATACTGCAGAATTGCACGTATACAAATAATTAATCCTGAAAAATAAAACTGTAATGAGTTTCTTTCTATTAATTTACTTATTTACCAAAGGTCATTATTAGCCACCACAGCCAGCTGTTGTCTTTCGACGCTAAGTCTGTGGAATGTTGGACAATAAACGTCCACTTCGCTAAGGATAAGCCAAATCCTGATAAGGCGCCGTACCTTGACGCAATTGTGTGACAAAAGCACATCAATAACAAAAATCCAATCCAGTTGAAAATGAATGCAACTAAAAATAAATCTTATTTTTCTGTCACAAACTCGACTAATTTTCAATTACCAAAAAATGCAATGTAGAACATAAAGTCCGTCCCTAATAAACTGGTGTCAACCTCTTCATTTGACTCATTTTCAATTGTGAGTATCCTCTGTCCAGGTGCTCTATACTGTGAGAGCTATAAAAGTGTGTCAAYATTTTTTTTAAGTAAAATTTTATCTTACTCTTGTCGGTGGTAATGTGTTTATTGGTACATTTTGTTCTTCGAGATTTTTTTCCCTCTGTACTTCTTCGTATGTGGGTAATTTTGTGGTTTTAGTGGCAACTTCATAAGGGGGCGGTGCATAAAAATCAGCCTTGGGGGGCGGAATATCATCGCTTGAAGAACTCGTGGGGACAAAAACAATACTTGGGACTGTGGGAGTCGTAATGTGACTATTATCAGCGGTTATTTCCGATGGAGCGATCTATAAATGATTAAATGTGTCACTGAACATAAGGAAGGAAAATCGATTATTCCTACCGTCTCGCTTTCGTTATTTGACTCGGATCTGTTTTGTTCCATCTTATTTTGAGACATGTATTAGTCAAGAGTGAAAATACAAAGAACGCACAATAATTTTTTAGAAAGCAACGCTTTATAAAACGGCAACCATTTTACAATTACAATTAAATGTCAACAGCGCAACGTTGCGCTATGTATGAGCAATGGTGTGCGCACGCAATATTATGAAAAGTCCAGCCAGACTTGTGCATTCCCCTTGCAACAATGTTTAAATATTTTCAGTTTCTTATCAGTTCATATCGTTTAAAGAAATGTCAATTTAAACTGAGATCATTGGGAAGATTTAGTTACAATGCAGTTTTCTGTTGGTAGCTCTTAGTTGGTGATGTTGCCACCAGTGCGCACCAGTCGTGTATTATTATTTTTTTGTAGTGTAAAACGCAACAGTTGACAGTTTTGCTTTGGTGGGTGAATGTGTCTTATGTTGTACCAACGCGTGGTATATTTATTTAACTCAAAAGTATAAATGTTGCTAAAAACTGGACTTTTCTTAATTTAAACTGACCGGAAACGTTATTTTGTGATTGTTTTCTTAAAGTGTCAAACGAATTCAAAGCACACTTTTCAAAAATCAAACCAACCAAATTGTTTGAAAACTTGTTTGTTGTGTTCTTAACTGTTGGAAAATCACAATTTGTTACGGATTTATCAGCTCAAGACGTCTCGCCGCAATTGTCAAGGTATTTTTTAGTTTTATTGTTTAAAATTAGAGGAAATACGGCTTGTTTTTGATTCATTTTTGTGACACGGACTTACTTGATCGCGTTTCGTAATGGTTCATTCCGAAAAATTTCACGTTACTTCATTTTTATGTATATTCATTAGAATTTCTATTAATGCTTGCTCTGGTGAGTTCTTTGCTCTGCTAAACATTCTATTCTCATTACGGTCGAAGCAGCTGGCCCATGTCGCAAAATTTTAAAGCACCTGTTTGTTACGCACATTTTCCAAAAATTGACTCACACTTGAAAGTAATCGACCGAAGTTGGTTTTTCGAGGTGATTCCAATTAGCTACACTTAACTCATCCTTGACTAGTGATTTCACCCATCAAACAATTCAAAAAAAATTGATTTTCAACATGATAGTCGACCTAAAATTCTATCGTGAGTATCACATTGTTGACAAGATTTCCAACAATTACGAATAATAAAAATGAAAATGGAAAGTAAACCACTGGAAATCACGACACGTATGTTTGCTCTGGGCCTCCGGGTGGGCTAAATCACCCTGAAGTGGTAATAATACTACAAAGACTACTCTTTATTCTTGTTTGTACTCGTAGTTTAAGAATAACAATTAAAAAACTCAAATTGCCCTGCCTTTATTTGCCGTTCAAAAATCATTTTCCAGGAAATGCTCCGTTATCTAAGTTTAATTGCGAATCGAGTGCGATTAGGTTTTATAACAACACACCTGTAATTACTTTCGTCTTTCATTGCTTCAAAGCAACGCGATACAGGGGCGGTGTGGGTGTCACTGAAATTTTATTAAACGTAGAAAGTCACACAGAGTGACAGTAACTCAGTGTGGTTCCCTATACAGTTTAGGTTAAAGGTTACCAAGTTCCTGTAAGAATTAACACACTTAAAGATACTACATCGATTCTAGACACAGTTTATTAGCTCGCTTTGGTGCTATTTTCGAGCATTTTATATCGTGACCTTTAATTAGCAAACTGTAAACGAAGATGGATATTTGCGATGATATTTTTAGAATTTTTATAAGAATATAATTACACGCCTACGGTTTAATTTATTGGTTCAGGAACTCGTAAACCGATTTTAGCAAAAATTCTACGCCTCAGGATTAAGTCTGCTGGAATTTTTACATTCACAGATTATTCCTTCGAAATAACGGAAGTCATAAATCTCAGATAGCACCCTCAAGGAACTAAGAACTCGTCATAGACATAGAAAAAGTCAGTACTTTGCAAAATTTCAGGGTAATTGAGCGTTAAATGTGACGAAAATGTCAAACTCGTACTTTCTATGTAATAAAAGCAAATTTATTGATGAACGATTCGTAATTTCCACAGTATTATGCAATTGTGTAAAGATTGTTACAATTATTTGACCATCGAGATTGAAAGTTACAAGTACTGCACAACTGTTACTTAATTGAAAGTCTGATTGGTTTTAAAGCGACGTTAAATGCGATAGCACAAGACATCTACTTTGTTTCATTAATTTAACACAAATACAACTATTGTGTTCGAAAAGTAGGTTACTTTTGTATATACAAGAGAATTTCATAGTAATTGTCAGATTTCACTAAATGCGCCAGTAATTTTATTTCAATCGACGTCAAAGATATTGGTCAAGATTACGTTTTCTCACAGATGGATGAAGGTGTAAGCACCTCCGCTCTTTAAAAATTCGTTGCGTGTAATCCATTTAAAACAATGAACCAATCTCAACAGATGGCTCCTAATTATCCGTTGTCAAGTTTAATCACTGTGTAGGTCGGCGTGGAAAAACAAAAATTTTTTGCAGAATAACAATTTCTGAAAGAAATCAGTGGGAAGTTGCTTGTTTTGAAATCTTTAACTTGCATGAAGAAATACTGTTGCATCTGTTATTACTGTACTAAATGTAACCAACACCCACGCATTGAAATTTGGTCAAAATATTATCACCAAAGTGATAATTATTACAATAACTGCGTTTAAAGGTTGGCATTCATATTTTAATGCTAATTAGTTTTTGGAAGATAGTGTTGCATGAGTTAGTTCAGTGTTTTTATTTTGATTATAGGTATATTTAATTGATGATGTCTTTTCCCTCAATCAGTATGACTGTGGTCTGTTATTATTCGACATTGTTTTGGGCGACTTTTGGTGTTCATTTCCTGTTTATCTAAATTTCTTTCTGACAAAAAACTAACTCGCGCTTGTTAATTGTGTGTGACCCACTAGAAATCGGTATCTGGTGATTTTTGACCTGAATTTCTGAAGAAGTAATCTAAACCTATCGCGAAAAATACACGAGGTCGACACTCTATTTCCAATGATGTTATTTATAAAATGAGAATGTGAATGACTCATCATATCCTTCAGGAAGATGAGAAGGAATTTCAGACAGTGAGTCAGAAAAGGGATAACAAGTCCATGTTAGGAAATTTTTCTGAGAAATTGTCACGTTTATTTCATTATGCACGTCGATATTCCCTCACATTTGTTGTAAAAATAGAACCTTTTATGTCAAAAATAGCTCGTGCTTATCATCCCTTGCACTCGAATTCTATTTACCCTCGTTGCTTTCGAGTCGTCATGTCTATGTCGATTCATTTAGTTAATTAATTACTGGTGTTAGGTCGTAATTTTTGGCACCATTCAACTTGAAAGTTTTCTAATTAGTTCTGGTCTATTAAAAGAGAGCAACTGCCTTTTAATTAATCATTTTTTTACTATGAAAATTGATGGTACCTTAATGATTGATCATCGTGAATGTTTAATTGAACATTTAAAACCACGTAATAGCCATTGATTTTATGTAATCACTTCATGTTCAATTAGATGCAGTTAGTTGATTCGTAAAAACTGCATAATTATGTACTTTCCTAATTAATTTCATTTATATGTCAAATTCATTAGAAATGCTTGCTAAGAAATAAATTTTAAAACACTTTTTACCTGACTTGAACCTTTCTACATACCATAATATGGATTTCCGTCTTAGTAACAAAGTTGACGGTTTTGTTGTGGGTACAGTGGAAGACAACAAAAATGTTTACATGTCGTGGGTGTCATAGAGGTGCGGTAAGGTGGCTATAAATTGACTTTCATGCAATATGTGTACTTAAATTGTTCAATTGATATTATTTATCTTAACTGCACCTTGAGTGATGTGATTTTATCTGGAAATTTCAAAATTTACAAGTTCAAATACATACTTGGATTTGCAGAACATTTTGTGTGTTCTGATAAAAGAATGTAAGTACAGCATACTTGAAAAAATCAATTGTTACACGTCTTTGTAATTAACTCTGACTTTATGTAATTTAAAAAAGATTGGAAAAAATTACAGGATAGGGCTTTGGGCACACCCTTACTGAATGATAAGTTGAGTAAGGCACTTATTTAATGATCACCTCGCCCGCTTGACCTTAATCCAATGGATTTTGTCCTTGGGTCCTTTAAGAGGCTATTTCAGGCCGGATCTTTCACGATCTTTAAATGTTTACTATATGGTAATTTTTAGTTTGCTTTTCATCCATTTTTGTTGTATAAAAATCTCACTCTATGGTCTGCATTCAGTTGAATTTTTGGTAACATTATACCCCCCATAAGTTTTACAAGTTTTGTCACTTTAATTATGCTATGTACTTAGATTTTAATTAGGAACTAAATCCAACCTTTGTAGTGTTTTATTATGGTTTCAGAAAGCCATTGGAATGTGTCTAATCCATAACCATAAAAAGTTTAAACGAAGCACTGAAATTTACATTATTTTTGTAATTGATTAATTACTTTTAATAAACTAAACATTATTTTTTTCTTATGGGTATATACTGTAAGCTACAAATTGCCGAAAGGAAAATTTCTACAACTGATTGGTCACATACTTAGTAACATTTGATAAATTATTTATACATATTCAGTTTCCGTTATTGCACAAAGATTAATAATTTTAAAACTAGTTATACTCGTAGATAATGAAATGACAAATTATGCGTACCACATGTAGGTGTATTTCTTCGTATCTGTGTTTATATTGTTTCTACTTTTCACATACCTAATTAAATAAATGCATGTTAATTAGTTTTTGTGCAGTTGATAAACTGTACATATTGTTTGACGTACTAGCAACGGTTCTTTGTTTAAGCCTAATCATAACTATTATTATTACCGTTAACAGTTAAAAGTCATAAAGTTCATGTATTTAAAACTAACTAAACGAAATATGTATACAAGGTGAATAAAAAGTTTCTAACCAAGCGGTTTTCATTTGCCTTCAGAAAATAATAATTAAAGTTTTAGCGTCACATTTTTATAGTACTTTATAATTCATCAATTAACTTTTTCAAAAAATAAATAGTTTAACCAAAAAAACGTTTGCTTTTATATTTTTTATTCACTCTGTATAATATGTATGTAATGTACAATTTTATGTGTTTGTATTTTTAGTTGATCAAGTTTTCACATGGTATTATTGGAATGTTGATGTCATTGAATATCATAAGATATTTCTAAGATAGTATCAAAATTTTTATGTGTACCTAGATAAAAAAAAATATTTTAATGTTTTTTTTCGTTTTTAAAATATTTTCAACACTGTTGGTGCATGCAGGTCACCCTAACCATTAAACATTTTACAACCTAAAATAGGTTAAAGATATTTCACATGGGAAAATTGGTATGTTTTTTTTTTATAGGCCACTGCAGAATGAGAATTTTGTTGTTTTTTATCCATCACCCGGCACATTGTTGCGCCATTAAAAACTCAATTCCATTTTGAAATTGTTTTTTCTCTAGTGTTTTAATTAAATGTTTGTTTGTAACAGTTAAATAGGAAAGGAAAAAGGAATAAAATTAGTATTGCATTAACCTCTCGTTAAAATTCTAAAAAAAACATGCAGAAATGACTACTACTTTTGTAGACTTTGTGGAAGAATAAAAGAGGAAAGAACGTGCTAATGACTTAGCATCCAGTTCTGCACGTCATTTAACACCTGAGGTTAATTAAAGAGTTAGTGTAGTTCCAATGTAATTGTCTTAAATACGTGCTAAATAGTCATTAAGCCTTCTTGCGAATTTGTTTCCTGTGATTATTTATTGTATGATGCCTCTGTTCGACATGTGCTTGTGAGAAAACTCATTCCAGACAATGCAACATTAACAAAAGTGTAGTGCGTTACGCAAAAAGGCCGTGTGAAAGATCGCCACGACCATTAAACCCAACAAGAACTCGAATTTTTTCTTTAAAAGAACCGGAAGTGGATGAAAGTTGCGATCGCTGCTTTCAGTTTTCATAAATCTTTGGATTTTTTCGGGAAAAATATCTTTTGTTTGTAGTTTATCATAATGAAACAGGTGTGTGACATATGCTTCAATCACTCTCCATTATTCCGGCGAAATTCAAATAAATAAATTTTAATTAATGAACAAATAATGCGTCTATTTTCGGATTGTTGATTTAAATAATTAGAAAGTTGCGAGAGTTGTATTTTCCATTCGGAATTCATACTGTGACAGATAAATTGCATACGTAAAGTGTAACAACGATCATAAAAATTCTGCTTGAAATTATTACTCGTTTATAAATTTTCCAAGTATTCTGCCGATACTATGCGAGGAATTCCGCACATAATCGGTGGCGTTATTGCTGCTAGGAACTTTGTTCAATTACTTATAGGTAATGGCTTTTATGTAAAAGGTGAAGCGTACATCTGATCTTGGGTATTGCAAAGAGTAAATTCTTTAAGTAAAAAATGTCACAGTTTTCGCTCGCTCCGGACTGATTACTGTACGCCAAAAGTGGTAATTTTATAGGTAATGAATTAATTTTTGTTTTTATTTTCAGATTTCACGATGTACGCTGAAAAGTGTGAAATATCGTAGCGGGGCACAACTGAGGTAAGTGTGAAAAATCGACGATTTTTATGCCCGGTTTATGGCGACTTCCGAAAAACTGTGCTTATAACAGTTGTATACAAACGTGTCCTCATTTTTTTTAAGTTTTATAGGAAATTTCTCAGTTATAACTGTAAAATGTCCACAGGAAGGACATTAGTATAAATAGGTAGGTATAATGTTTTGTGAGGATTTACAAAGAAATTTTTAAATGGGAAATAGAAATTAGTAAAATTGATTTAATTCTACTTTGCTCATTACAAATAACTTTATTTGAGTAACTGCCACTAGCCATAGCCATAAATGGTATTGTTTACCAATTGTGTCAAGGTTTGGCTTTTAAGACAATCGAGTCATTTTGTTGTAACTATACCGTATGCTAGACTGAGATAGATAAAATATCAAAATTTTTAATTTTTGACATATTTGATCTAGAAGCGTAAATTTTATCCACCTGCAAAAACACTTAAACTCATTAAGTCAATAATTTAAGTACCTAATTTAATTGCGGAAGTAAGTAGAATATACATTTTCCATTAAATTGATAGCAGACGTAAATAAAACTTGCCGATTTTTGCACAATAAAACTGCCAAGCTTACGGCATTATAAATCTCTTGTGAGGGGATTTATTTCGGTGTAATTTTCACACATTCGAGAGCATCCAAACGCCTACCCCCTATTCTTTTATGATCCTTTTTGTCGTAGTTAAAAAACGCAGACAGGGAAGTTCGTTGCGCTCGGTATGCTGGTGAATCGATGTTTTGTGACCTCGACCATGGAGCCGTGACCCGACCTTTTTTCTTTGCTCAAGTTCACCAACTTTTGGGAAAATTCGACGCCGAACCCGTCTCGACTGGGGTGAGGACTGTCGGTAAATTGTCCATTGTAAAGTAAACAGTTGCACGAGACGGGTTGTCATGTTTAGAATAAGGAAAATAGCGGGTGTGCAAATGGCGGATGTGCAATGAGATAAGTTATTAAATTGAAAAGAGATTATGGAGACTTTACGGCCAAAGTTTCAAGTTAATAACAGTGTGCGTTTCTACAAGAAACGTTGGTATTAATTACGCTTTCAATGGGAGTTGTAGTGGGAAAGTTTGAATTTGCATACTGTGCATTGAGTAGTTTATAGTTCATGAAATTTCAATTACTTTGATAGGTATCTTTGATGGTTGAAAGATCTTGTTAAACTGTTGTTTTTTGTTGTAACGTTTCTAAAGAAGTATTTTAATTGAAATTGACAGTTGTCAAATTATTCATTATGAAAATTGCGTGTTGAAATTAATGAAAATATCTAAAGATTACAGTTTTATGTGGGCAATACATTTGAAATAAAAAAATATGACTTTGTAATTCAGTTAATAGTTATTTATGTATCAAGTACGCAAAATAGGGTTTTAGGGGACGAATCGTAATTAATGACGAGGCGTCACCTAAAACCTTTTGCGTACGTGGTGCATACAAGATTTTTTTGTTAAAGCTCCCAAAACACGAATTCACACCTCCTATTAATAAAAAAAATTTTGCCACCATAGTAACCAATTTTAGTCCCCAAAAACTGTTTTTGGGGACTGAGTACTCAAAATGATTAAAAAAAACAAATAAAAGCAATAATCATTTTGCGTACTATTTTATTGAGTCCGGAAAAGACTCATTTTGGGGACTCAAATGAGACCGCAAAATAGGTATTTTTGGGAGCGTATACAAAAAAATGCTTTGTTGGGTTGTTAAATGGTGTAACATCTTTTGTAAACTTAAGATTATCAGCTTATCACTTTAATTAAATTTTCTATTAAAAGTAAACATTTGTATACTACTTTATTCAAGCAAACAGATTTACAACAGAAGAATGCTCGGCACAGTTACTTGCTTTTATTGAAATTTCTATTACTTGTAATGTTTCCTTTGGATAAAAGGATTTTCATAAATAACAAAAGACGGTAACTTAACTTTTGCCAAGAAAGCAGTTTCTGAAGAATTGTAATGTGTGTTCATTAAAAAAAAACTCGCAATAGGCGAACGTATGTTGTAGTATGTATCGTCCGCAAATGAGTTTTAATTATCTGTCATCTTGACAAGTGGATAAATGAATTAATCAAAGACATGAAAAATATTTGTCAAATCACTCTTTAGTTTTTTTTTTAATGAACACGTTATTGTGATTATGTATATTCATTATTGTTATTATAGTCATTATTAGTTAGTAGGCATATTATTTCAATGAAGCATAATATTTTGGTGAACATTTTTTTTCTCGGACCGAGCATTTGTAGATTAATAATTTATTGATATCGATACTAGTCAACCCAAAATACATTTTAAATCCATTGATAACATTTATCATTAATCAGCTTATCAATTTATATTGATTGAAAGCAAATCCTCACAGGAGTGAAGCATAGTATAGTGTGTAAATACAATTTAGATTTTACACATTGAGCTAATGGAAGCAGAGATTTTTTTATATACATAGAGGACATTTTTTAAACTCTGAACATAGTTCTATGTTCAGTTTAAGAAAAGCAGAGATCAATGCATTGCTTATAATTATAATTTATAATTATACTTATGAAATAAAATATTACTTTATTTAAATGAAGTTGAGGACAAGGCAAATAGAAAAATTACAGGCAGATAGGACATTAAAAATACTTCACAATAAATGTTGTTATAACAAAAATTTTGCCTGAAACAATAATTAGAAAGAAAAAGAAAACAGAAATTTTTACTTCGACTAATGTTTTTGAGTTTTTGTGAAAACGGTGCCATACTATTAAAGATAGAAAAAAATTGTAAAGTTCATTTAATTGTAGAGAATTAAATTTGCTTTAAATGGTTCGTGACACCAAATCTCTATCTTGGCCAGATAGCCAAAAATTTGGTTTTACCCGGTTTAGAAAAGTATGCGACAATTTTGGTGCTGAGTGTATTACATAAAATTTACTGAACCATTTATGTAAATCAAAATGTTCATTAACTTAATTAGCAACATAATATACGAGTACGTTAATCATTAAAAGCACATTTGAAATTTCCGAAGCAGTATATTGTATTTATGTTGAGGACAAAACGTATTTGACAATAATTCCATACCAAAGCTATTTGATCGCTGTCATAGTTTTGGTGTGTGTAGCTTACTTACGCCAATAAATTTTAACAAGCTATACCTGATTGTAATTCGATAAAATAAATTGCCAAAATCACTATGTATTGAATAACTTTCTATATTTTATTTGTTTGTTTATTGTTTTATAGTGGTTTATAATTTTTTAAATAAGTGTATTGATTTTTGGATCTTCGTAAATTTTTTTCAGCTCACTGCTGACTACAATCCAACGCTATTTTTTGCAACTTCTTTTTGAAACATTGAAACCTATTAATAGAAAGTGTAGATCGTTTAAACTTTAAAGTCTGCTTTGTGACTTATTTCTACTTTATTCATTGTAAGGAAATTACAAAAATATATGTTTCCAATTGAAATTTTAGCACATTTGTAAGATGAGGTCTTAATTTCCTCATCTAGAAGCCACAAGAATTTCAAATACTTTAATAAATATTCATGAGAGCAAATATTGAAAGGATTTTTTTCTAAACTTTGCTGAGAGTTTATACAAACTTTATTAACAAAAACTTTGTTTTGTTGTAGATCTACAAAAAATAAATTATTTAACAAAGTTAAAACAACAAAATAAATAGTGTAAAATAAATCAAATTGTAATTTGTTAATTAGCCACTTTATTATAATTATTGTTAATTATTACTGGAATAATGTAATTTTTATGTGTAAAATTGATAACAGGATTACGTTTTATATATAAAGCAGATGGCGTATCTTGTTCGCTTGTAAACATTTATAATAACATTAAACCGAAGTGCAGATAACAAATAATTATTATATTGACAGAAATAAAATTAGTTTTAAGAGTGAACAACACAAATAAAGCTTTTGGTCGGTTACTTATTGGAATATTACAACTCTAGGGGATATCTCTTTATTAATATTAATAAAATTGCTTACGTTAGACAAAAAACAACATGGTACGTGAATGGATCTGTACAAAATAATTGTAAACGTTCGTAATAACGATGATACAATTATTATTTGCTTTTACTTACTTTACTTTAAAGTTTAATAAGAATTATTGACCTCATATAACTAGATCATTCAGCGATTAAATCGTACTGTGTGACAATTACCGGCGATTGCGTTTACGCCTGTTTTGTAAAAGTTTTATCTTCAAACACTACGAAAATCTAGCCGAAGCCTTTTAAATGTAGAGAGTAAGGCGAGTCGAGAAGGGTAACGATCCGGATCCCATTTTGATGAACATAAATTAACAACATTTTCAATTGCAGATGTCATCGGCGGCTGTGGGGACACATCATCATCATTCGGGGGCTGGACCCCTGGGTCTGATGTCATGCGTCCGTGAATCGTCGCCGTTGCAGGATTTCGAGCCTCCCGATACCGAAAAGAACGGTAAGTTGCAGACTGGAAGCCCTCCAAATTCTATTAATAAGTTTCGGAAGACGAGAAGTTCACACATGTGGTTGAATTTTTGGCCAAAATTGGGTCGATTATCGGTTTTTGTGGGTCTAGTTTGATCACACCGCCCACTCTTTGTTTTCCATAACTGTAAATTTCGCAGTTCTATTAAGAAATGTTGACAATTATTAAATTTATTTAGCATGGAGAACTTGCGTGACCGGAGCCAATCGCTGGCAAAAGGTCCGATAAAGTTACTAATCGAAAGATTTGACCCTCTTTGCGACAGCCAAAAGGTATAATCCCGACAAGATATGATTTCCTAGAGCGCAACTCAACGGTACTCGTATTCTGTGCCACGAGGTTTATGTTAACTGTAAACGACCGTGGGTGTTTGCATATGCCACACTCCATAACCTAAGATCATACGTATTATGGTGAACACTTGAACCACATGCAAGTTGATTTTATTTACTAGAACATAACGCACCAGGTTGTTCCAATTTTAACTTTCACGTTTTGTCAGTTTTATCTAATTATGAGGGAAAGGTCGAAAATGTGGCATGTTGGAAAACCAGAAGCGACACTAATGCAGTTAGTTTTTCTTATCTCTTAGGCCCATCTGTGTGGAATTTTTGTCTTACTTGTCGTTAGTAAAGGAGAACAACTATTTATGTTAATATGGTGGCAAAATAAATCAAATTTATGCTTTAATTAATTAATTATTGGCGCGACGAAATTTCATGTTAAATAAATTAGTGAAAATTCTTTAATTGAAATAAATGGAATACATTTAAAGAAAGTTGTATTTTTTTGACGATGCTTATATGTTGGAATGTCGGAAGTTTCAATCCAACTTCTCGATTGCGTCAATCGAGAATAGAATGAGGATTTATTCTGGTTTACAACTAACCATTTGATTGAACGAACGTTCATGATAACAACAGTGTAGTATCAAACTATTCTGAGACAAACTTAGATGATGACATGTTTAAAGGTTACTTTGAACGGCCAAATTTAACAGAGTGAATCAGCAGTTCTTAAATTTTTAAAGCTGAATTTATAAGATTCTTTTTGATTTTGTTAAGTCTTTGCATATCGTCTGTTTACATTTTATCTAAATGATAAATATACTTATTTACACCTGCTTTTTGTTAAAAAAAAGGAAGGAAAGGATAAGTTTTGGTACTTATATGAATATAAATCTTTCATTTTAAGCATTGATGTAAAACTTTCTAGTTTGAAATGCATGTACATATACTTATTTATTTTCAAAAAGTACGTGAAAATAAAATTCTTGGAATTTTGTGTTTTTTTTTTTTATTATAAATGCCGTTAAATAAAAGCATAGACACTTACGATTTTAGCAATTAACGAAAAACTTGTACATAAAGTTACCTTAAAATAGTTTCCTATTTTTTTTTAAATTTTACAGAAATCGACCAGTAAAAGTAAACACTTAATTTTCCTAAGCTTTTAAATTTAAACCTTTGCATAAAATTATGATTTCGTTTCTAATTTTATACCTACTGATTTATGTTATTTACTTTGTGAGTCATTTTATTTTCTGAAAAACAGAATCAAAAAAATTTGAATTTGGGAACCACTTCGACTCTTTTCCCCCAGAAAATAAGTGTCTGTAGCAATCGTTACCATAATGAAACCGAATTTTAAAGTGATGTTTCTATCAAATAACGAATTTATTATTTACGTTAGCACTAGGCTTTTTGTTTATTTATAGTATGTCTATTATATGTGCTATTTCAAAACGTTTTTATTTTTAAACCCAGAAGTAACATTTACGTATTATCACAATAAAGACAACAGTTTGTTTGTTCCGCAACAATTGACACAAATTATAATCTGTTTATGAAATTAGTACTGAAGGCGAGTCCTAATTGAGTTTGCCCGTTCGTGTAACACAATTGATGCATCTCTGGTTGCATTTCGGTGATTTACTCCGTGCTGTCATCAAATATACATCCGGTTGTCCATTGCATGTTATTTGTAGCAGCAACTTGTAAAAGTATGTCTCTTCGGGGAGGAAATACAGAGGATTCCTTGTAATAAATTCGAGAAAATTCTCTCCGTGCTCTTTTAAATAAATAGAGGCGTTTCATACCCAACCCAAGTTTTTTCTGCAGAAAATCGCGATTGTTAACGTTGAATGAATCGGCATGAGGTGGACGAGCAAGCACTCTCCAATACCAGATCAAGCAAGTGTCCGCAACATTCATCATTACAGTATGATTATTAGATGACAACAGATAAAATTAATCTTCAAATGCGCACAGTCTCGATGATAATGAATTGATAGTGGCGAAAAGTGTTATTATTCGAGTGATTTTCGTAAGTGTTGGAAATGCAGAGGTCAATCAGTTTATACAATTTTCAATCCGACGAGTACGAAATTGAATGTGAGTGTTTTTTTTTTAAAGTTAGGTTTTTGTAATGTTGCGGTTAGTTATTACGAGAAATAATGTTGCAATTCCCATGGATCCAGTCCATTAGTGCAACCAAGAATGACGGTTTCTTAAAAAACATTTTTTTAAAAGCTTGACTGGAAACTGTGATGGCTGGATGTGGGATCAGGTGTTAAAATAACAGGAACGGTAATTGCAGTGTTGTACTATGTTAAACACTTCCATGAAAGTGGTGTTATGAATTATTTATCGTATTGAGCACGTTCAGACAATACAATTTGTTCCATGTCGCAATTAGCTTAATGTTACATATTAAATGTTATGTTTACATCCCTCTAAAATTCGCAGTAGATGAGTTAAAATATGAGTCAATAAGGTTCATTGCACGTTAAATTGATGTTCTATTTTTGACACTAAGAAAAAGTGTTTTAGTTATTTTATGTCGAAAGTAATAAAGGTAGCACAAAATTCCCAGTGGTTTTCAATAATTTATTTTGTATCGATCTGAGAGAATGGTAGGTAGCATCCAAAATTTAAACCTTATGCGTGAAGGTAAAAAGCGCTTGAATTTTTTATCAGGTAAAAATAGTACGAGCTTGCGTGGGGGTTAATCCTCCCCTATAATAATATCAAATGACAATCCAATAACCCACTTTTTGTTCATCCAGGATCTGTTAACAGCTTATGTTACATCGGAAAACGCTCTAATCCATATTGCTTTTTAAATCAGTTAGATTAGATATTATATTGAACAATAAATTGTAATCTAATCTGTTAGTAAAAATGGTATTAATTTGCACTAATATTTTTTGCAAAGACAATTTGCAGAAAAGTGTGGAAACGGAGGATGAAATGCTCATTTTTCGCCGATCTAAGCACATACGTGCTGTTACAGAATTGTCAATAGTGTAATAAGCATCGTGAGTCATTCTGAGCGTTTCAACAATCAAAGTAACGTTTAGTTAGTTCACAATTGTCGGTCAATTGACAAGTTTGACCCTCCCAACTCGATCAAATCACGTCCGATAGTGATACAGTGCAAAAAAATGTTTAACCGAAGGAAATACGCTGTCGGTAAATTATCATTTCCGTACATATTAAACTCAGAGATATATTATGTGATGCGTGCGTTAATTAGATGAGGTCTAATGAGCATGCTATTAATTAAAAATTATGATTAAAGCGGCGACGAAAAAGAAGTTTTGGAATCCAAAGAAGTGGTTTAAGAGGAAGAACAAACAAGCCGAGGATGCTTCTGTCGAAGTCATCGTCGATAAGGATGTCCTCCGGAGCAGGTCCACCAGCGAGCTTTCAATCACAGAGGAACAAACGCGAAGAAGGTTTGTTCACCTTTTCCATTTTTGCGAAAAATTCATTATTTGATTGACAGAAGTGGGTCCTCAATGCATCCTGGATTGAGTGTTTCCCACGACAGTGTCTTCCATTCGCCGAATTCCGGTTCAGACATCGAGTTAGATGCAGCACAAAGCTCGTCCTCTTTATCTATATCGCAACCTCAAATTGATCTGAGGTTACAGGTGAGTCTTTGACGATTTTGTTTGCATACAAACGCGTAAAAATTCGTCCTTGGTGAATTTTATTCGCTGAAAATAAATCCGGTTTGTTTTCAAGTGTAGCAGGAACAGACGCACCAGTAATTTACTTTGTTGATAAGTTTTTTTCTTATCGCGTTTCGTTTTTGATAAAGGTCGTTCGAAAATGTTGATCGATAGGGTTGTGCAGATTGTTTTATGGAATGTAAACACGTGAAGGTTGCGAGGCGTCTGCCGACGACGCCTAAAAATGAACGATGGTCACGTGTGGGGCACAGGACCGGGTTAGCTTATTCTACAAAATTTCATTATGCTTGCAAAAATTTTAATGCAATAAATTTAAATACAAAAATAATCCAGTTGGAGTAGAGGGAAAGAAAGGTTCTTGAATTTTTTTTTAAATAAGGACGTTGAAAAGCGAGTAATTTAAACATAATTCACCACTTATAACGAGGAAACAAAAGAATAAATCCTTAAGATGTATTTCACAAGAAGGATACTGGATACATTTTGTATGAATTTTTTCTAAACACTTTAAACCACCCACACTGCTTATAAAATTCTTATAAAAAATGCATTTGATACGAGCGCTGTCAAACGCAATTAAATTCAACGATGATAAAAAGTAAATTGCGACCTACGAATTATAATAAAACGAAGTGTTGTGTGGACTTTTAATTATATCTGAGGGCTTCGAATATTAATTGAAATGAAAGTTGAGCATGTATCGAATAAATTATTAGGATGAATAATTTGAAGTCTCGTTTTTTTAAAATTTGTTTTTAATTGAAGAATTGACGATGAAAAAAGATTTTACCAGTTGTCAAAGTCACGCAACCAACTAATTGTTAATTCTCTGGTGTAATGTTTATTAAAATTGTGATTTTTTTGAATATCAAAGGAATTTAAGCTTTTATATAGTTTTTTGTTTATTAGGTGCATGTTTTACACAAAGCGTTTTTCGCAACAATGAAACTACATATTTAAAATATTTAAAATCCGGCACTATACGTCTACTTTGGAGGAGCTTTTATAGATTATTAAAGGGAGTGTTTATTATGAAGACATTGTCTGTTGAAATTCTTTGTAATCGCCATTTTAAGGAGAATCAAATTTATTTCAACTGTGAACAAGACACCAAAGTTGGATTACATTACGGCCAAGGTTATGTGCATATGTCGTGTTTGCTTATTCCTTTTGGATTGATTTCAACAAATTAAGGAGTTGTCAATGTCATAATCCTTCAGGCGATTAGTTAACATGTTGATATTTTTTTAAACTTTATAAAAGAAGAGTTGTGTTTAACAATTCATGACCTTTTATAGTTTTTGAACAGTTACATGCTTTGAATAAAATTTATTGTACTTACTTATTTTTTATCTGCCGTAACTACAAATATTAATTCTCTTTTTGGGATGGTACTATCTTGCACGACTATCATCTACCAAATATAGAGATTGGGTCAAAAAAGAAGGTTCACATGTTTACAAATCTTTTCACATACAGGAAATTTACATGAGTTCTTTTAAAAAATCAATTATTCAGGGTCAGACTTACAAATGTTCGTTGAACTTACGTATGCATTGGAAAGTGCAGATTTAAATAATAATAAAAATAATAAATACATTGTCGACCTTCGGTTTCTGCATGACATGTGGTTGTCCATTCAAATGTCATAATTATCAGTTTACACCTGTAAAAGTAACCGTAAACGTAATGTGAAGAAAGTATTTTTTGCATATAAAACTGTTAGTAATTACAATTAGAGTAGTTGCAAGCGCAAGTGATTTTTTATTAAGAATTGTGCTATCTCAATTTGTTTTGAAATGCTCATCCTGTTTCTGGGCGATAAGAACAGACAAAAAAGGAAGTTTGTGCTATATATTTCAGTGTCGTTTATTTCGGTGTTTATTATTATATGCGTCCGAAATTCCTTAGATTTCCTGTATTTATATTTAGTTAGGTGCAGTTCAGGTTGTTGGAAATTCAACAGACTATGAAAAAGAAGTTTTTGAAAAATTTTTGATAACAAAAGGGTAAATCATGGCTTCTATTATAAATATATCGTAACTGCTATATTTTTTTAAGTAAAAAATGTTTTTTTTATATGCATTCGTCTATGTTGCGATAAAAACATTTATTTATTCTAATTTAAATTTTCAAATTTGAAATTGTGACAAAAATTGGGTGATTTACCTAATTCGATGTTGTGCAAGCCTTACATTACACTTAATAGATAATAATGTAACTGCTATGTAAATGTCCCTAATTAGTGATAGTAGAGCAGGAACTTTTCCGCCACTATGTATGCTTATAATTGAAGCGCAGCTTAATTCAGGTAGTAAAAATCAAGTAATTAATTTTAACAATTGAGAACTACTTAAAAAAATTGATAACACAATAGATTGCGAAATTATTATCGATCTTAATCTTATCTATCTCTTCGTCAGTAATTATTGTTAAAATCTGTTCATAAACAAGGCTTCAATCGTGCAGAATTTTGTTTTAAATACTCATTATTTATTTGTCTATAATGTTTGATTTTATGCGATAAAATTTCATAAATCCATCTCGAAATCACAAATTCTTCAGTAATTTTGGATCTCAATCTACAAATTAAGATTGAAGCTTTTTAATCCTGTCCTATTTTGTTCTGGTTCTTTTGTCACAGATCGATGTTACGTCGGCATTTACTTTGTGTAAACTTTTCTATGGGTATTTTGTGAATAATCATTTAAGGTTTGGTTTTTAATGTGAATAATCCACTGCGGTGTTTTAATCTACCGGAAAAATATTGAATTTGGTGTAATCAATGTTAGGTAATGTTTGTTTAAATTTATAACGTTTCAGAATTTTGTATATTTGTTTATCCTGGAGAGATAAAAAGACTTGGATGTTTTGGGTGTTTATCTTGGGTTGAAGGACATTTTACTTCTTTCCGTTTATCATATAGAGTGACTAATGCAGACCGATCGCCGGACCACGAGCTCGCCGATGCCGTTACCTCCGATGAGGTCGGTGCAAAGTTGCCAGACGGGTTTGAAACACCGCAGTTTGCAGGTCCTCGTGTCCAGAAAAAGCTCGAATAAATAAACACAGCCCCAAAATGGGAATTAAAACGCAGTAATTCAGTGATACAGTGAGTAATTGTAAGAAAAACCGCAATTCGACTCAAGCCGTGACAGAGTTTCCTGCGATTAGATAAATATTCTTGCTTGAAATTCAGTGCGTGCTTCTCGATGTAATTTATTACATGAAATGCAGTGGTTTGTGTCAATGAAATGAAAGTGCGGACTAAATCGAAAGGTCGCTGTTGGGGCAGGACCGGTGAACGCTTTCCTGCTAGGACCAGGCTTTGCAGGATTTGGGTGAGTTGGGATTGTGCAGTTTTACCGGCGATAATAAGCTGATAAATCGGCAATTAAATAATTCATCTGTTCTTGTTATAAATGACGTCGGATTATTATTATTGGGAGAAATTACCGAAGCAGTGGATTGGAAGCATCGTATGGCAATTAATAGTTGAATTTTCTCTCATTACATCATTTCTTTTAAAGTTTACGGTTGTTGATTTTTTTATTTTATAATCGCACTTGAACACAGATGGTATTTATTTTAAATTTTTGCAAAGGGTCAAGTATTCAAGTAGTAATGGATTCCAATGTTAACATATCTATAAAATTGTATTTACAGAAAATTAATCATTCTTATATTTACATTATCGTTGTACAAATAAGTAAGTGAATTGGGATTATTTTTAGTAGAATTTCTCAATTTGACAATGTGTTACATTGACGTAGGTCCTTTAACAATAAAAATCTATTTAAACTAATTAGTGCAGAGCATTTCACACTATTTTGTATCGTCCACGAAGCAAGTGAAACTGTGTTGTTTATTAATGAAGTTTTAATTGATATTTAATTGAAAAGTAGCACTGTATTTTTGACCTAGAAATCACACCGTGTGATTATCGACAATTTTGTATTTCTTATTTTTTGGGTTACTTTACGTTCAGTTTGCTTCTTTGTTACTGTAATAACACTGTAGTAACACTTAAAAAAATTATAATGTGTCACAAATAAAAAGCTATTAGAATAAAGTATAAAAAATATTAATATGTAGTATAAAAATCGAGGTATTTTTGTCAAAAAACACGTATGGCTTTAGTAAATTATTTTTATTTAAACATTATTACTACACGCACTTAAAAATGTCAAAGTTTTTACATTTTTTAATTATAAAACCATCAAACAGCCACTCAAACAGTCGTAATATTATTATTATCTTTGCTCACTAAGTTTAGTGCCTGCATACATTTATTCATGTTTAAAAGTAGCACACATGCTATTAAAACTTCTTATCGCATTCACATAACTCAAAACTCTATCATTTGAAAATTTATTGAAACATAATTCATTCATAATCATATTCAATGGTAACGAAACATCTCCATGAAATTGTGAGCGATATCAATCATTTAAATAAAATTATAAATTGAATTAAAAGAAATGTCAATATCATAAATTTTACGTCACAATAATATTAGGAATATTTTCAGCAATAAGAATTGTTTCATTTAACAAATATTAATTAATGATCTCAAGTTGAGTCACATAGTTTATTGTGGTCAATTGCATAATATGTACCAAGAATTTCAAATCGATTTTATTATTTTTTTTTCGCTAAGTTTTTTGTTTACCAATCCCAAAACCCTTGTTATCCTCCTCTTAAATAATGTAAGAGGTGATCTGACATTTTATTTACAATTAAAGAACAGTATCTCGTATGTGTGACATTATTTTGTTACATAAACTAACAATACTTGTGGTTTACTAGACATATATTTAATTCTTGTCATAGTAGTTAGAAAGCAACTTACGTAGATATGTATTTGAAAATTTATTTGTTTAGCGATTAAAATTGAAGAAAATATTTACTTGAAGAAAGAGCATTTTTGTACATTTTGTAAAATTCTCCAGTCTTGTTAGTGATGACAACAAACAATTCGTGTTTGTACTACTAATCGCACTCATTCATCCGAACAATGTCCAACAGCATTTTTCTTTGCATGCTTTGAATTTTAATCATTTTAATTATTGTTCGTGCTATGAACTCGCAAAATGTAGATCGGTTCGAACAAAAATCGCCTCTTTTCTCGAGTCATGTAGTTCTTTCGCAACATGTGATCAATTTCGTCTTCCACGAAATCATCCCGCGATGGGTGGTGGGTGTCAAACGTGACTAAGTAAAAGCCCCAAGTCTAACTGCGAAATCCTCACTTTCCATGATTTATATTATCCTTCACCCTTGTGACATTTTGTTGTCCTTACCATAATTTCTGTTTTATTTCAGACAGAGCTAAGTGAGAGGCTGAGATTGAGGCGGGGTCGTGGCGACACAAGCGAAGACGATGAAGGCCTTCCGCATAGTCCATGCAATTCTCCGACTACCACCGAAGCTCTTCTCGACAAGACTGCAAGCAAAGTGAGTCGGGATTTCGAAAACAATAAAATTATTGAAGTAACTGTAGTATTTCCAAGTCTTGACGGCCATATGTTCGACTGGCATCAAGATGAAACCTTGTGGCCTCCGGCGGAAATTTTAATTTCTGACTAACGGTCGCTTTAAGTAAAATTGCACAACGTCGTCGTGATTATTATGCTTTTGTTGGGTCCCCTAGTCTCAGTCGTGGCATAATTACTGTGATTTATTGCTACCAGAAGTTTCGAATTTGTAATTAGGACGACCGAAAGCTACTGGCGGATTTAAAAGTTGTACAAGAGATAATGACTTAATCGCAAGTTAATTTATGCGAAATAAGTAAATCCAATTGTGAATGAAATTAGTTCAGTTTGGCCATGACTATTTTTGAAAAGTTGTACAAGATAATATGGAAATATGTCGAAATGATATGATATGACGAATCGACAATTTATAGAACTGGATTCCGGCCAAATTTTGATTTTATTTCATATTCCACTCACTAAATTTGAATTTTAATCCGTTAATTAAACCATTTAGCAAATGTATTATTAATTACTCATTTTTTTAATTCTACTTGATGTGCATCGATTTACTAAGTATTTGTGGTAATTCATATCTTTATTTGAATTGATAATAATTGTCAAACTTGAAAGAACAAAGAAAAAATATTAAGTTTGAGTTAAAAAAAAACTTGATGTTAAATGGTAATGAAAAGTTATATTAAAATGTTTAACTTTGGGTATCTTGCTTTTGTGTGAAAATAAATTAGGTAAAATTTTTTAAATTTGTTTTTCTTTTAATATTTCGGCACTACCTTTAATTGTAGACTTTTCGTAATGGTTTATTTTTATTTATTATAGTTGACCCGAATTCAAATCACAATTTTATGACTCGCTACCGCTGTAAAAGTGGTTCTCAATATTAAAGTTTACTCAAATATTTCATAAATTGTGATTTCCTCCTAATACCCGGAAATAATAATAGATTCTGATTTTTTGTAGCAATTATGGTTGGTATCTATAAACGCACTTAAAAACGTTATAAAAATAATACAATCTCTTTACGGAGAGAAATTTTATGGTTAATTTGACTCGTTTCCACAGTTTTAGTTTATATTATTTAAAACTTTCACTCTATATTTTGAACTTCCTTGACATTTCTCAACAAAGGTCGGGTCATAACATTTGATTTCTTTTTCATATTTTTACTTTTTCACACTTTATTTACATATAAATTTGGAAACGCATCAGAAGAGCATTTCTATCGGATACCTACCATAGTCTTCCGTGAATCTATGCAACTTTGTTTTTGGTATTGGTCAAGATTATATAATTACAAAAGTAATGATCAGACCTTTGACCTTAAATTAATCGAAGATACTGCAATCTTTCACTTCCTGGCGTCATATCTCAACTTTCTTCGACTGTCTCATTGGCTACGATTTTTTAATAAACACCCAACTTCTTCTCATTAATTCAGCTACATTAGACATTTGCATAATGATGAAAACAAATTGTAGGTACAGCCAGGGTAATTGATGTTTTGTAACACTGGAAAGTTAATAACTGGATTAGTGTTATTCAGCAAAAAATTGTCTTGTCATTTCACTTTCGTGTTAATTTTTTAAATGCGGATTGATTTTCTGGAAATGCCATTGAGATTGAAACACCTGAAATGCGACCTTTCCGGTTTGTGCGTTTGGCGTTAAACACAGACCTCATTTCAAATAGTAGTTTATGCGTTATATTTACCTGACATTTCACAAAAGAGGTGTATTTCGGATTAATATCATTGTTTTCTTCCCACGTATCCCAATTAGTGTTTGGTGAAACTCTTCAGATTTAACGACGGGAACTTTGCTCTTCTTTGTTATTTTTGTCTATGTAGATACAAACAAATTGACTTGATTTATGACGGATTTAGAGGTTTTCATATCGATCCAATAATTGCCATAATATTATGCTAAAGATTAGGTAATATTCGTGCTTATTAAAAATTATTTTCATTGCGTGAGAAAATTAAATTGTGTTCTAACGAAACGATACAATTAGTCATGTTACTCAAGAACGGAAACAATAAAACTTTCAACAATTGCTTTAAAAATCGCTAATAAGTCAATCAGTTGTAAAATACGTTGCACTTATATTGTTCACGAATTATAAATAATATGTTGTCTGTATTGCCTCAACCGACGAATAAACTATTTTATTTCGCGAAAGAGATTGAATTCATATTTCATGTCCGCTGACCTCCAGAGAACAAACAGGGAATTTAATTAAACATTAGTATGACGAGAAATATTTGAGAGGAAAAAGTGATATTAGCAACACGATTTATTAAACATCTATTGATTACACAATATAGATGCCATTTTTAATGAATCGAAGTAATTTTAATTTGTTCCATAATAGGCAACCAACAACACGTCAGGCGTTTGAGGTGTTTCTATGTGCGTGTTGGCTAATTAAACGTTTTCCATTTTGCTTTTCACGCAAAAAAATGGGAAGTTTGACAATGCTTTGAGTTTTGATTAATACATATTGACGCGCTAGATAGCACAATCAGTTTTTTTGAGTATTTTTTCATTTATCTTTAGCAAAATACACAAATACCTATGAGGTTGTGATTCTTTTATACAGGTGCTTTTTATGACGGTAACACTACAATTATTTATTAATATTAAATATTACGACAAAAAAGTTTATTTATGCACCTGCATAACAATTTTGTTGCGACAACTTGAAATTTGACGAAATGAAACATTTAATTATGGCAATGACCAACTCATAGGTACAAATCACTTAAAATTTTATTCTCAAAAGTAAGAAAAGCACAAAATACAAAAAATTGCCAGTGTTATATTTTAGTCATTTAAAATGTTCAAAGACATTTTTCTTTTCATTTAGTCAAATTAAATGATTGATTGATTGCGGTCTTAACAATTGAGTTAGAGAAATCTCGATTCATTTGAAATTAACTCATGTTGTGGCTGGTGCATTGAATAGAAGTTATTAACGCCTCGAATAATCCAATTTAAATTATAATTCTGAGCGAATGCACCGCTTTTGGTGTCTTATCTGCGAATCTACTGTAGGTATTAAATTCAAGTGTTGCAGGCGTCGAAAAACAATTTTCCTAACTACGTCTTTTATTTAGTTCGGTAGGGATTTAGGTCAGAAACAACGTTCTGCATTAGAGGAAATGAAACCGGAGGATTCGTCTAGTTGAAAGTCCCGAGTTACATAATAGTCAGTCGCATAATTGCTATCGCAACATGGAGGGATTCAAACATTTAGTTTACATTGTTTACCTGTAGAAAGTGTACGTTTTCAGTTTCGCGTTTGACGTTGAATAGAACAGAATTCGTACGATAGCAACACCTGTGTGATGTTTGTAACAAACGATGTTTTGTTCGACAAGACACTGTTTCAGCACGAATGTACCGTGGATTAACAATATGCGAATTTTTTTACCGGTAATGAAAGAAATTTCGAAAGATAAAACATTTTTCGTGTGCAGAATAATTTTAAAGCATAAAAAATTGTTGCAGGATCTCCCCACGAAGTCACACAGTACGTGCAGTGATGGATCGTTACTTAGCATGGGTAGTTCTGAAATGGACGAAGTAACTCAAATAAATAATAAACCTAAATTAGCTTTAATTACGATTGTTTCAGGAGAGTTTTAGCCAACAATCGCGACACTCTTCCAAATTATCACTGCAAGAGAAGCGGTCGTCAGATCAAGGTTTTTTTATTTCATATTTAGATGAAACAGTTTTGTATTAATATTTCTAGATTCGGATTTGGAGTTAGGAGCGTCTCCTTCAGTCCCTTTAAATCATAGCGCCGCGCATCACAGAGTTGCTGTAAGGCCGAAAAGACGTGCCCCTCATAGAAATAAAAGAGTACCTCAGGTAAGTTTTTCGCAAAATTTTGATAATTTCTAAAGTGTTGTTTTGTGTAGCTGTCAAATGCTCTTCCAACCACTCCGGAAGTTAATGAAGAAATATCGATAAGGAGTATGACGCCAGAAAGTATTTCCAGAGGTCAGTAATTGAATTTAAGTCAAGAATTAGTTTTTAATTAACTGTTACTCAACAATAAAACAATTCCCACACTTTTTATTTAAATTTAAAGTGAATGCTTTTATTGTTTTTCTCGAGGAAATAAATGTCATTTTTGTGTTAATTTTGTGAAATTAATTAAAATCAAGCGAAATGAATGAAGAATTAGCTTTTGTAAGCAATAAACCTGTTTTTATTATTATATAAAGTAATAAATTATGATTACATTAATTTATGAAAATTAATTTTTGACACTTACAAAATAATTACGTAGGTGAATTAATTAAAATAAAACTGAAAGTAACAACATAACATTTCGGCCTTGCTCCCATTAAAAAACTTGCTTGTTGACGCATGGCTTTTGTTTTTTTTTTGCAGAAACGATCTCTGAGCATTATAGCATGAGCACGAGAACTACTCTAACCGAAACTCAACTAAAATGTTCTTCTCTGCCTCCCGGTTTAGCACCCCCCGATGGTGACCCCAATAAGTTGAATCGTAGTCGTTCAAACGCCGGTAGTAAATCGGAGGATCATTTCGCAACTCTTGAAGAAGACGTCGAAAGGGAAGAAAAGACGGACAAGTCATTTTTCGATCGGATATTTCCTCGAAGAAGCGCCAAAAAACGTAAATCGAAAGAGGAAAAGACTGTCACCGTTCAGTCGTCATACTCAAAGAGGGTGGAATCGAAACCGATAGCGGCTCCGAGGTCGGGGGCAGCGTCACGTCAGAGGATCCAACCGATCGATCTGCCGCCGTCTCCTGAGGTCCAAAAACGAGATCCGGGTTGCATTATGCCGGAAAAGTCCGTGGCGGGAACGTCGCCTTTGCATGTCGAATTAGAAAATCGGTTCAAGCAAAGGCAAACATTGAATGCTAGTCTGACGCCGCCACAATCTCCAAATATCGATTCGTCGTCTGTGATAACAAAAGTAGAGGTCGTTCAAGAATTCAAGAAAGAATTTAGAAACGAAGAAATTAAAAGTAAAATAAAAATGCCGGGATTGTCGTCGTTACAACAGCGCGTTTTGTCACTAAATGATGAAGTTGACGATGTTGGTTTTAAGTCATTAACTGACTTACCTGACAAACCTGCAAAACCAGTCACGAAATCACACAGTTTCAAAGCCGTTAAACCTGAAAAAAATGAAAAATTTGTCGTTACTGAAGCTACAAACGAAAGGAAGATTTCAGTAACTAAAGCCGCTTCATTGGATAGCATCAAACATTTAGATGAACCTCAAGAATACACTTCTGAAGTTGTACAAGAATTTACAGTTGTGAAAAACGAATCGAAAATCAAAGAAGAATCCGAGGTTTCCGATCTCTCTTCTTTCCCTGATTGTAATTCAGATGTTACCATTTCTGGTCCGAGTCACACTGCTGTTGTTAACGTTTCAAATAATTACAATATGGCCAACACAAAAACAGAAACGATAACTTCCGGTGAAAAAATTAAAGAAGTTACCACGAAAGAATGCGTTTCCGTCACAAAAATCCACTTGAAACGCGAGTCTACCCAAGTAACACAAGGCACAGTTACAGTTCCTAAAAACGCAGTTCCCGAATTTTTAAACAGACAGTTAAACAAAGTTGAGGCGAAGCCGAGCAACGTTGTTTTTTCAATGAATTCACCGAGGATAATCGATGAGCAAAGTCGGCCGAAAATGACCGTTGAACAAGAAAAAGTTAGTAAAAATATCCCTCGGAAATTTAGTCAAGAAGATATTGAAATAATTGAGAAAAGTGAAGAAGTGTCCAAGGTGGCGACTCCAAGGTTTAAGAAAAATGATTCAAACAAGAGAAAATCTTCAACGAGTTCGACCACAACTCCCGAATCGCCGATTAACGAAAAACCGATTTTGAGGAGTCGATCGATTAGTTTAGACTCGTTGAAGGGTGAAATTGAGAGTTCAGATAAATCGTCTCAGGATAGTTTAGACAAGTTGGAAGAAAAAGATTCAGTTAAAGAAAAAACTGGGTCCGTTGTTGAAACCGTAGTTTTGCGTAAAAAATCACTAATCAAGCAAAAAAACGACGAAGAGCCTGAATTGATGAAAGTGTTTGCTCGCCGTTCTCTCAAACTTAAAGATTCAGAGAGCGAGGCGGTGAGTCAGCAAGTGACTCTCATGCTTGATGACACGAAAACAAGAGACAGCGATAAGGAAAACCAAGCGGAATCGCCGCAAGAGGAACGCAAAAAATCATTGAATGAATCAAACGAAGTTTTCGAAATTCGGGAACCTTTAACCGAGACGATCAAAACACCGACCAAGGAACAACCGAAAATTAAAGAAAAATTTATCGAATTGACCGAAGTTACGTTGCGGAAACCGGGAAATAATCATTTTTACACGAGAGCGTTTAGTATGAATCCAAAATCGGCCGAAACGGACGAAATGAAAGTGAAAAAGCAGGCGAGTTTCAGTGAGAGGAGAATCACGGATAATTGGATAACGAATATTAAGAACGGTGATGATTTAATTGAAAGGAAAATTTCGCAGGACGAAATTATTACCGGAATATCACCGAAAAGTGATTTCATAACAGAGGAGTTATTAACCGAGCGGAAAAATTTCAATCAGAGAAAAGCTGAATGGGAGAAGAGGGCACAAGAGGCACAGAAAAAGTCTGTACCGTAATTATGTAAGTTGGGATGAGTTTTTATATTGTGTGCATGGTTGCATTTGAGTCAGCATGTGAAAAAAATCTTATTATCAAATTTTTCTATCATTAAAATTGCTGACACGTGCTCGGAATTTCTATTTATTTATCTTGATTCATGCTTATCACAGTTAAAAATAATACAGATTTTAGAAAAATCCTAATTAATGTTTATTAAACTCATTCCCGGCAAATGATAACCATGAATGTCTACTTTTTATTTTATGTTGAGATTTGTTTTAATTTTCAGATGAAGATGTTCCAAACGATCCAATACCCCGGCCTGGAGGTAGTTGTAAAAATTTAGTCAGAGTTATGTCAGTGTAAATATTGTTTGTGTTATTATTGTGTGTAACATCACTTTTTGTATCGTTTCTTTTTTTATAATAAGTTGGTGCCATGTGATGATACCGGCATTAATGTTTAAAAAAAGTAATTTGTATTATTGTATATTTTATACTGTAGATAAGTGCCTTTTTAAAACTTTTTTAATATGTTGATTCAGAATGTGATGAAGTTGTTTCGATTGTTGACCAATGGAAAAAAAGCCTTGCGAGTTGTGGTGCTTGAGAGATAATTAAAAAAATAAAGAGTAATGTATGTATACTTCAAATAAATGTTAATACTGCAGTATGGGAATATGTCTAATTACTGATATTAAATGTTGAACTGCAATAAAATATTTATAGAAACAATCGGTGTATTTATTTAGCCCAAATCCCACGACACAAAAGCGTGAATATTTCAAATGAAAAATGTGGGGATAAAAATATCGGATATACTTTGTTTTTATGAAAATGACACTAAATAAAATTTATGAGACAACGGAATATTCAGAGTTCTCTCAGATTTAAATTTATTGCCTTAATTATTAAATGATTATGATACGACGTTTCAAGATGTATAAAAATGAAAAATAATTGTTTTATATAAAAACATGCAACATAAGAACTTTTAATTATGCTAAATAATGTGGTCTTGCAACGGAAGTCAAAGATGTGATAAAAGGTTTTCAGATGTAAAACGAAACAGTTATTACGGTTCGTTACGCTAAAGTTCACTTAAGCAGTTTTTGCAATGCTTAATGTAAGACGACAATGGAGAAAAAACAATAAATTATGAACGTGTAGAGAATACAAGATTTGGTTTATTTTCCGAAATACAAGAAAATTTTCGACTAACTTATTGAATGATAGTATTTTTTAGTAATGAGTAAGAAACGTTAAACTAAATTGTAAGTACAATGTGGATAAAGCGTATTATATTTTGAAAACCATGCCATAATATTAATTAGTACTTTTATGTCATCATATTTGAATCGTCATGTTTGTAGATTGTTGCATTATTTTTAATTAAAATTAAGTTACTTAAGAAGAATATCACATAATCGATGAGTGTAAAAACCATAAAAGCTCTTCAAAATTCATATACTCGTAAACTTACTTCTCGTAAGTTATGACAACTCGCAGTGTTCAATTAGAAAACAACAATTTCTATTTTAAGTTACTTTGAGTAAAACAATGCTAAATGAATCAGTAGGTACCTACCTATGATAAGATAACAAAATTGTTTATTATGTTTCTAAAAGATAATTATTATTTGCAAGGTCGTAATAACTATAAATAATAGGTACTGTAACAACTTTTTTAAGATTTAGCAGTAAAACCATTTTTTAAGCAAAATGAAAGCTGTTTTTTTAAATAGTTTTCCGTTTTAATTTGATTATTTTATTTACATATTTTGTTCAGCACAATTTATTTCTGTAATTACATCTAATGTAGCAGAGAATTCCCACAATTGCATGGCAATTCAAAAAATTAGAATTCGTTTATTGTGGAACCATTGTTTTTTTCAAAATAAGCGCCTTCCATTGCTACCACACCAACATTGTAAAAGTTCTTCCGAATTCGCTTGATTGCACCTTTCGCATTTGTGAGCTTTTACCTAGTTCTTCCACGCATGCCCTGTCAATTTCATCCACAATCCTCGGAAAAATCATTTGGGGGGATTAAACTCGATCGCCCTCGCGCCGCGTAGGCCAATGCGCAAGGAAGAATGCATGTTGTTGCTTGTTATGAGTTCGTAGTCGGTCACCGCGCCCAACGATGACTGAGCCACTGTGTTAAACCGGAAGTGGCGGAAGCCAACACTAGTGTTACAAATGTCGATCATTCGTTCTCCCAGTGTTATTTCTAGTGCACTCCACTATCTGATAATAATCTCCCGCATTGTCTCGGATTATCTCTCAGTTATCAGTTTCGCGTGAAGCATGGACGAGGGAACACTCAACGACCTCCTGGAATGCTCGGTATGCCTGGACCGCCTGGACACCTCCAGCAAAGTGCTGCCCTGCCAGCACACCTTCTGCCGGAAGTGCCTCCAGGAGATCGTCCACAAGCACAAGGAGCTGCGCTGTCCCGAGTGCCGGATCCTCGTCAGCTCTAAAGTGGACGATTTGCCCCCGAATGTGCTCCTCATGAGGATCCTCGAAGGGATGAAGAACAATGCCGTGCCCAAGAAACAACAAAGAGCGCCGAGGAGCATCCAAGCACCTGCTGTGAATCACACGCCGGTGCATCAGCAGCATGGAACGCCGGATAGGAAGATCAACAACAAGACGAGTCCGCAATTGGTGCTTCATCAGCCCTACGCCAAAGCTCTCTACGATTACGAACAAAAGGAAGCGGGGTGAGTTAATTAGTTTATCAGATAATTCTGATGAAACTCTACTTATCATAAATTCAATATTGTTTAATCTTTATGAACATTGCTGAGCACACAAATCCAATCTGATTAAAGGCATGTCAAGGAACGAGGGGTGTGTCTCTGAGGGTGGATATATGACCTAAATGAAAAACGAAAGTATTTCACTTCTTAACCTTGGATTTGGTATCCCTTAATTTGTTTATTGACGTCAATATCGTTAAAAATTGACTTCTATTTCTGCGATTCGGCGAGACTACTAATTTAACTTTCCTAATCGAATAATTGAGAGATTATCAAAGCCAGTTAGCAAAAAGTCTGGGGTCTTTATTTGAATTGAGACATTTTATATGCAAATTGCAGTTTCTGAAACTTCATCTTGTCTCTTTGTTCTATTTAGTGAGGTCAAAATTCTCAATTCCTAATGAAAACTCATCGTTATTTTTGGGTTTGTTGTGCTTCTTTTAAGGGTTATTATAATTAAATAATTTGTTTATAACCAACAGAATAATGTAAGTTACAACTGTTGTTTTAGTTACTTTATGTTAAATTTTGTTTATGTGAATAAATTGCAGCTACTATTTTCGACTGGCGAATGGTTTATATTTTTCAGTGTTTAAAATGTAATTTCCTACAAATTGAAATAAAACAGTTTAAATACTCCAGTGACCGAAAAATTTACTTGGTACTGATTACACTTTTGGGGACTCTATTTTTAGTATTCTTCTTGTGGGGGTTAAAATTATTGACTTAATTTTGGTATGGGAGAATAGTAGACGTACAGTGATGGACAGTGAATTTCGTCCACCCAATTTCCCTGGCAGAATAATAATGTAAATTATTCTTTAGGTGTTTCTAACCTTGTTTCAGAATTTTGATTAACGTTTGTCATATTGACAGAATGCATGTTCGATACTCCTTAGTACTTTTTACCTTTGTTCTATGAAATGGTAGTCTTTGGTATGCCCAAAAGTATAGAGATACGTTTTTAGGACATACCTTCTTGTATCAGGGAGATAATTTTTATTATTTATTTTATTATTAAATTTGACAATACGTATTTGACATGACAATAAAGCATAGACTACAGAGAATTTTTGTGAATTCACGGAAATTGGGTGCACGAAATTCAGTGTCCATCACTATACATCTGTAACAAGTTTAAAATATGGCATATTTCGTGGAAAAGTTTGTCTCACGAGCCTAATGCGAGTGTGTCGGTTCCAGGAGGGCGGAATATGCCATTCTCAACGAGTTCCGGACTATATATACTTTTTCTACAACTTAAATTTAGAAACAATTGGAACTAATTTATTAAAGAAAATATGATTGTTAAGATTTATACGAGTGTAAGAATATTCTCGCACAGTTATCAAGAATATGGGTAGGTATTCAGTAATTAAAAATCAACCAAAAAGAATGTTATTCTACACATAATAGTCGTAGAAAAATCGTTTTCATACTATTTTTTGGTGCCTACTAGATTAACTAATTTGTCAAAAAGGGTAAAGTCACTATTTATTTAAAATTGAAATGATTTCAAAAATATTTTAAAAATTATGATACAACTGCTCACAACTGAACAATTTTTTTACAGGTGTTTCAAAATCAGTTGCCCTTATCAGATCAAAATTCTTCAAACTTAAGACATAAAATTCATTCTTTAAATTCAAATTACATGTAGTTGAGTTTTTATGATCATGCCCGGAATTCCAATCATTTCATTTCTGTCAAAAATAAAAAATTAAAAATTTAAATTTTAAATATTGAGGGAAATATAAAACGATAAAATAATTATTAATATTCATTACATTTTTGGTTATGAATTTAATAAAGTTAGTCAGCGTTTGTGTTTGGTTTCATAATACAGAAGGGTTGTAAATTTTCTATCCAAATATAACTTGATAAATTAAGTTTACCTGCATGGGGTTGGGACTCACATTGACAGTAGGTATCGCCAGAGAAGAAATTTTTATCAATATTAAATACATAATATGTAATATATTCTAATAAGGTTTTTGCGTACGAATGGGGATGATACTAATAAGTAATAAATATCAAAGTCTTATCGCAGTTTACAGAGTAAACCCAGAGAAAGTCTGTTGTGTTTACACAACATATTATCTAGACAGTTTCAATAAAAAAAATAGGTAGACAAATATATTTGCCACTTATAAACCATTGTAGTAATTTCTGATAGCGACATTTTATAAACTAGTTAGGTCTGTTTTGAAATTTTATCACCCATAATTTATTTATTTGCTTTAAAACTAGCAATAATCAGTATTTGGACGTTATTTGTCCCCGGTTTTAGTTGAGAATTTTGCATCTTTATTTTCTAATAAAAAAGAATCGACTAATACGAAATTGTGAAAATACATTTATTTACACGATGTTTATGGGAATTTATTTTCGAAGCAAAATGTTCAAATCCATTATTTGAAAACTGAAAGCAGAAGCACAATATTTTTCCCAATTTATTTTCGCAATGTTCTGTTTTCAATCAGGAATCCTTTCGAATATTGCAAGTAAGGTCGTAAGATATCGCGGACCTTGAATCGTTTGCGATCTCTGTAATTTTGCTTGGCTTATGTTCATTTCTTTTGAATTATTAAAAAAATTGTGACGCGTCATACGTCTGACGCTATAATGTTTATAAAAACGTAGAAAAAACGTAGAAAAGTCAACAGTTACGTGCCGAAACGAGAGATAAATAAATAAATAGAGGAAATTATTTCAACAATTTTGTTACAAGTGGTGTTTCTCTTTCAGCGATTTGAGTTTTAAACGTGGCGAGGTAATACTTCTGAGAAAACGAATCGATGCTCACTGGTATCAAGGAGAATGTGGCGGAAAACAAGGTCTATTTCCTCTAAGTTATGTCCAGGTATTAAATCGATTGGATTTGGTTTTCCTTTCTACGAATTCGTGTTTCCAGATCATAACTCCTTTACCTAGTCACATTCCTCAATGTAAAGCCCTCTACGATTTTCAAACTGACAAACACGAGGAAGAAGGATGTCTCACATTCAAAGAAGGAGATATAATCAATGTTATAAGAAGAGTAGACGAAAATTGGGCTGAAGGAAAACTCGACGGAAGAATTGGAATTTTTCCTCTTACTTTCGTAGAACTGAATAGTTTAGCACGTTCACTCATGAAACTATCAACAAAGCAAGTATTTTTTAATTACACGAAACTGTAATTATAGAACTTGTTTTTCCGAGTATAGTGCACAACCTGGACCTTCAAGGGTTGCTCCTCCGACGCCTACAACCGAAGATAGCACTCCATTGATACCAACGGATCACTCGAGAACAATAGTGCCACAACAACAAACGCAAAATCAACAACTTTTCGTCCAACAAACACCAGTCCATCAGGGTTTAGCAACGTCCGATTCGAGCTCCACCGTTAGCTCAGGGAGCTCCTCGACCACAACACCGAACGTGTCTTCCAGCAACACTTCTTCTAATTCGAGTACTGCGCCCTCTTCGCCGGCCTCCCCGCCGCCTCGGACACAACCGCCACTGGCCCGTACCCTAGTCCAGTAATATTTTTTCCTAAAGTTAAATATTCTTCCCAATTTCTACATTTGTATTTTCACAGGAAGCCAGATCTTTTGCTGAATTCTCCGGCTTGTAGTACGCCTCAGCGGTCTCCAAACACCGCTACAAGCCACTCCGATAACCGCTCTTCGTCTCACCAGCATAACAAAGAGAAACGTCACAGTTTCACAAGTCTGACCCCCGGCACATTCAACAAAAATACTCATCGCCATTCTGCCGAAATTGTGACTTCTGAGATTGCATCTCCTAGTAGCCACGGCCACAAAAGGCCTTCAAACGAGGACGAGATCAAATTACCAGCTCCGTACGTGGCCTTGTACCCCTACAAGCCACAAAAGGCCGACGAGCTGGAATTGCGTAAGGGCGCCATCTACATGGTGACCGAACGGTGTCAGGATGGCTGGTACAAGGGCACCTCGAATCGTACTCAGAAGTGCGGTGTTTTTCCGGGGAATTAYGTGGCGTACATGTCAAAGGCGTCGTTGAGTTCATCTGATGCGAAAGTTGCCGTAAGTTTTACAAGGAGTGGTAAAAGTGTGTCTTCGCCACGCCAAACCTATAACACTTTACCTCCTGAGTTGCCGCCACGTTCTGTTAGTCCTGCTACTGCAACAAATACTATTTCGTCCAGCTGGCATGGACAGCAAGATAATGCCGCCGTGCCTCTGGGACGTAGTAGTAGCGCTGTTATGTCCAGTGTGAATACGACACATCTGAGTTTGGGTAGTGCGACTGTTGCAAAGCCTGCAGATAAGGTTTGTTTTATCATTTGTCTAACGTGTTGCCTGTTTTTTGTTTGGTTATTGTAGTGTTCGAGTTCTTTCCCTAATCGTTTCAAATAATAAACTTTATCTAGTCGATTTGTAATTATATTATTTCGCAAACGCAAATATCAAACTACTTTTTTATTGATTCTGTTTGACATTTGCGTTTAAACTGTTTCAAAATTTAATTTCAAAACAAAAGTAAACATAAGTGGTATGTCCAGCAGTGCAAGGATCGTAAGGAAAAGGGTACTGTTGGTTTAATGCGTAGACTTACTAGCATTAAACGATCCAAATCACCACCCCCATCTTCATACTCTATGGATAATCCTGTCTTTGAAGATTCAGTTAGTGTTGCTACTGCTCATCCTGTACATGTCAGGTATATAAACAAAAAATGTAGTTTTTATTTTGCATGCACTTGGTTTTGTTTGCTTTTTGCTTTAATATTAAATGAAAATGCCAAGCGTGTCTCACTATATTAATTAACTTGATTAACAGTTATGAAGTGGTTTATTTCCTCATTGAAGCTTTTTAATGTACTTCCGATTGATTTGTGGATAACTATCTAATAAGCGAGTCTACTGGATAACTTCTCTATTTTAATTCAAAGATCAAATTTTTTGTTATTGGTTGTTGGAAGTATTTTCTTCTAAAATTAATGTTTTTTCTTGAACTAATTTATTTTGTTTAGTTTTACAAACAATTGTAAGATTATATTAGATTACAAATTAGTGTTCATTGCAGATTACTGTCTAAGAAATTACTAGACACAAACTTTTTAGTTTTGGTACTTCTATAGTTTTGACTTTTGGTGTAGGGTTATTTCGTTCTTACCCATGTGTTTAAATAAAAAATAAGACAGTTATTTTTATGTTGTTAAATGCTCAAGATCGAAACTTGTGGCGCTGTTTTAACCAAATGCTTGTGCATGAAAGTGAGTGTTTTATTTAGGTCCGGATCATGCCCGAGTCAACTGCTGCAAATTCAACCTGTCGAACACCACCGCCTTTTCGGTTCGACTTCCCAACGTTTAAAACACAAAGAACGTCCCAGTGTTCTCACGCACAGCCTAAGGTGTGTTTGCACGTAATACGTAACCTTTTTCACACAAATTGCTTGAAAATTTAATTTGCTTGCTTTGCTTCATTGTGTGTCTGTACATAAACGTCACTAATATGTTCTCAAAGTGCAATTTTGACACGATTGGGTATTATAGAACAGAGAATCCGGCCGGAAGCTCAAACTCAAGTCCGGACATCCATCACCATCGAAAATCCAACTCTCTCGACGCGGGAAATCGCACAAAAACAGGGGTGCAAACGGTCCATGAACTGTTCCGTTGCGAAATTCCCTATCCGCCGAATAGCGAGTACGAATTGGAGTTGCAAAAGGACGATCTGATTTATGTCCATAAGAAGAGGGAGGATGGGTGGTATAAAGGGACGTTGCAAAGGACGGGGAGGACGGGATTGTTTCCTGCTAGTTTTGTTAAACCGGCTTGAAACAAATTTTGGTGTTGTAATTGTAATTTAAGGCCAAAGGTTGTTATAGCCGTAATAACCAAATAAAGTTGTGTTTTAATAGCTCAATTAATTGTGTCCATATAACCATGACTTTTACTCTAGATTTTTTCGCCATAACTAGTTGAAATTGTAAATAAGAACAAAACCAAGTTTAAAATTGTATATTGGTATTTTTTTAGGTGTAGTTATGAAGCGTTTGGTCATTTAAAACGTATAGATTGAATAGGATACATCATGTGTTCAAGAATATGTATTTACTTTGCGATTATTAACATTATTTATTTAAATTTGTTACCTAAAGACTTTATTCATTGGGGTGGAGGATTTTTATCAACATATCACGATTCCGTCACTTTTTTGAATCGTTTTTAAATTAATCTAATTTTAATTTTCATGAATAAATAATGACTGATTGTGAAAGAATGCGTTGACATTTTTATTAATGTGCATTAACAAAATATTGTAAATTGAAATGTATTCTGATATATTACAGTTAATTGCAATTTTTATTCTTGTTTTTTTTAACCCCAGATCTTTGTACGCAATAAAATAATAAATAAAGGTGAGTCAAGTTTGATGCTAGCAGAATACTGCAACCATTTGTTATTTTAATTGTAATAATTTCGCCTATATTTTGTGGATCAATGAAGAATATAATCTTGAAACTTTGTATTCTTTCAAGCATTTTTAATTGTTATGTGTAATTACTAGAAAACAATTTTTAGAGTTAAGCTRTACTTGAGACGCAYAGCGTCGAGAGTATWRATGAAAGCAACAATTGTTTTCACTTGTTTACATAAATAATAATTGTTCACTTTGAAGCTAGACCACAATGAGAATAGGACACCATCAAATTGACCCCCGAGTGTCTCACTCTTTCAGAGACACATATGATGTCAAAAAATACACTGGGGATTGAACAAAACTCGCAGAAACTTGGTCTACAGAATAATTAACAATGGTTTTTAATTTTTTTAATGATAAAAATTTACCAGTAATAGAGACTGTTGTCTTGATTTTTTTGTCTTAGTATCATGTTTTCTTTGTTGTTTAAAGACCAAAAGACTTGCACTTATATTCTGGGTAATTTTACAAATTAGAAAAGGTTAGTAATAAAGTGCTAAGTAAATAATACTGATTTGCTAAGTAAAAAAAAATAGTGCTAATTTAAGTATGTATTAAAATAAGATTTGCTATGTGTAAAAATGTCGAACAAATGTTTATCTTTTAAGGCATTAAGCACTCAAAATCATTCAGTGAACAACTCTATATCTACTTATGTATGGCCCCTGCGCAAGAAAGTTAATTTATTATTGATATTTATTATTATTAATAGGTATAGTAGTGACAATAATTGGAAGGTATGCATTTTTTATATTATTACCGCAATAAAAGCACATCACTTTCTAGGTTAAAGGATTGTTCATGCCTGAGGCAATATTTTGTTTTAATTTTCTTTTGTTTTTGTTTAGTAAAAATTTTTTTATAAAGAAAAACTATTATTTTTACTTAGCGTTTAGTATTTTTATTTAGCATTTAGTTTAATAACTTAGCGTTTAATTTTTATACCATTAAAAAATGATGAAACAAAATTTAAAATATTTGTAATTATCGGTAGTTCCCGCGAGATTCTCGTTCCATAACATTCAATATCCATACTAATATGCTCGCTTTTTAATACATGTAGCAAACACCTGATTTGTTCACATGTGTAGGAAAAAACACAGCTCGTTCCTAGTGTGTTTGAATGATATTAAATTCTTTTCTACAACAATAAAATTGTAAAATTAAATCTTTATCACTGGTTCCCTTCTGTTGGCTGCATTGTGAACAATCCAATATGGCGTTGGTGTGTCTTTTCTATTGCGCGTGCTCGTGGAGAAGTATTTTGATGCTAGCGCGGCACAACAAATTCAGATTGAGTTTGACGTTACAAGGGAGAGGTGCTGAACGATGGATTACGAACCGCAAATAGGAGATCTTGTTTGGTAAGTTCGAGGATTTTTTTCTCAATTCATTATAACAGTATACGCCATTAAAAGTTCACTTGTTAACGCTTTTATAATTTTCAGGGCGAAAATGAAGAGCTATTCCCCATGGCCAGCCCGTGTAAGTATAAGACCGCCGACATTCAACCCAACCGTTATTCCCTCCCCAGCTTTGCGCGCGCGTCCTTTCCATCTAACCTCATAATTCAATTCTTGAAACCTCTGGAAAATAATTGTGTTTTCTTGCTTAGATCGTCAAGCCCGGCCCCAATTCTAAAAAACAGAGCAAAAAGGGCAGCCACTGGGTTTACTTTTTCGGGTCCAATAACTAGTGAGTATTTTATGTTTACTTTGTGTTTATCTGTTCAGCCTCCAGCTTCGGGAGACTTGATTAGTGTCTTGAATTGTTTGGAGTAATTTTCTCTCGTTTTTAGTGCTTGGATTGAGACTCCCAACATTAAACCCTATGAAAAATTTAAAGAAAAGTTCTCTGGATTGTGCAAATCGACGCCTTTCAAGGACGCAGTTGATGATATTGAAAATTACATTAAAAAGAGAAGTGTAAGTATTTATTCATATTGTTCCTTTTTCCTTTGTAATTACGTATATAATATTTACTGTACTTAGGGTTTGGATGAGTCTTTGTAGGTTATAATGTGGCTTGATATTTTTGAACCGAGTTTAAAACAGTTTTTTTTTTCATGAATTACATACATAATTTTTCCACTTAGGTTGCTTGTTTGTCTAGAATGCGGTAAATGAGTCAAACATGCACTATTTTGATGTAAGTGGGACCATTTTTAAAGTACCTACAAGCTCTATTTTTACACACAAGAAATAGTACCTATTCTGTTTGCGAAAACGTATATAATTGGAATCCAATAAGTTTAATAATTTATCAATAAAGACTATTACCTGCATAGTCACTAAACTAGGTATTTAAGGTTTACAATTTACATTTAWCTTCAATAAAAATYCTTAGATTTTTTTATTTCATTGCTATGAATTACGCTTCAGTATGTTCACTTTAACTGTACATTTATTTTRTGAATATGGTTCGCTTCCTAAAGTAGAAATTTATTTTTATTATGTTGGTGTTTGATACATTTTAGTGTCTGCAAAAACATGATTTAGGTTAAAAAAAAATGATAATTTTTAAAATTCCATGTTTGATTTGTCAACGAACAATATATGGGAGTAGTGTTGAAGCTTCCTGGTGTTGAATGAATGAAATTCTCACCCGAGGAAGACCATCTTGTGGTCGAAACACGTATCATGTTGAAAATAAAAGTTTAGTATTTTGAGAAAGGAAAGATTATGTAGTATCCACTAGTACTTCTAGTGGTAGAGCTTATTCCRTATCTGAGAGTGACAGAAAAGACACTTGGAATGCGCCCACTTGGTTAAGATAAAAAAATACATGGGCGTACTTTTTTTTCTCTAAAAATTTTGGAGACTGATTGTTGAGAATATCATTTTTAAAAATTCTTTTCATGCGTTAACATTTTAATAATTTGTTCATCATTTTKTATCTTATGTATGAGTATCTACTTATTATAATTTTTTAAAGAAAACAGTGGTTTTGAAATATTATTTCATACGACGCCTATGAACAATATTTTTTTTTAATAGTAAACATATGTTTAGTGTCAAAATTCAGTCATTTTTGACAACGTCAGTTCGCCATCAGATTTGAAACAAGCTCTACTTATTGACGTTAATCACGGTCGGATTTAGTTATTCGCCGCCCCTAAGTTAAAAAATTATGCGTTTTTTAACATTTATTATAGTTATATTTGTCACAAGTACTAAAGGTACTAAAGTTCGTTTTTGTGGACGAATTCTTGCTGTGTCCTGGCGACGCGAAGCTGAGCCTGGAGTAGCAGATGAGTTCGCAAAAACTGTTTAGGAACTTGTTACAAACAAAATTTTTTTGTTAAAGCTTATAAAAACACATTAAGACCCTCTTATTATGTATGATTAATTTCTCGAAAATAGTGGTAATAAATAAGAAAAAGTAGTATGTAGTAGTACATATTTCAAATAACTATTTTATATATTACTTTATTGAGTCCGAAAAAACTCATTTTAGGGACTTAAATGAGTCCGTAAAATAGCAATTTTTAGGAGCGTATATTATRATAATAACATTATGAAAAATTAGTTAACAAAAAGTTACTAACAAAGTATTTTGTTTATCCAAATCAAACATTAATAATATAAGGTCTCGGAGAAATAAAATGAATAAATTTAACAACGTGTTACAGTTATAATTCTGAAAATGTTATAAAAAATAGATCATCTATATTACAATAAACTGTTGCAAGATTTTATGGAAAAATGAATGCCGGTCACTGCTTTGGGTCCAATTCCAGCAACAACTTTTTCTTAACATGATCTGAAAAATATTACGTATCTATTTATTATTAACGCCCGTTTTCATGAATTTTAGGTTTTTGTAATTTTTTCAAATTTTTACCCACAAAGATAGTTGCAAACATAGTTTGCAAAGGTGGTGAATTGGGCCCTAGACTAAGATTTTTAATGTTAATTATTAAATTAGTCACAGGCTAAAAACAGTAAGTTAGGGAATGTGTTACTATACTCACTCGTCTAGTTAAGCCCAGTCCCAACCTGTTTATAAACTACGAGTACCCCTATAACATTTTTTTAAATTTTTGTAGCTTTTCGTCATCATAATTATTATTGTACATTATGTGCATTTCTACAGCGACTCTATGAGCCTATTCACATCTGCATTTTATCCGACTCGTTTAGGATATAAAAAGAATTTTCAAATAATATTTTACACTGCATATTTAAAAAAAAATAGATTTTTTTTTGTTTTTATTTATAGCATTGAAACTATTTTATAAATATTAAGTTGAAATTCTTCAAGCTTTAGTTTCCCTAGTTTGCAAAATCGTGGTTTGCTGTCTAAGCCTCAGTCTAATCAGCCTGTGCCTATGTTTCCACCCCTAAGCTGTTTAGTGCCCTGCACTCGTAAGTCATTTAGCTTTTTAGGTTAATAAATATTAAATTAATGTATTAATTGAAATAAAAAACACCACAATTAAAATTCACTCCAAATAAAGTAAAAATAAAAAACTGAATGTTTTTTTTATAATTAGGTGGAGGTTTTACAATAATCGCGTTTTGAAATATTGAAATATCGACATAATTGTAAATGATAGAAGTCACAATATTTTGTATATTGTTTTATTCACAATTGTAGAGTAATACTCGAGTTACCTTGCATGTGAAAAGTTGGAAAGTATGACATTTCAAATTTATTTAACAATTGATATAAAGTATCAGGTTCAGGTTGGAAAGTGGTCGTTTCCTTATCAGTTGGTATGTAAAATGACAGTTTAGGTTGGGAAATGGCTACTTCCCAACCCAAAAACTGATAAAGAACTGTCAAGTGTATTTTTCAAAATTTGATAAATTCTTTATTGGCTATCTGTCGTATAAGGAGGATGATTGTGAATAAAGTAATATACTCGGACAAACCCCGGCGTTCGCGCCTAAGTCATCAAATTTCCCCTTGCTAATGAAGCATCTCCCACCTCAGTACGTAATTCTTTAATAATGTACTTTTTTGCGTTAACAAAATGTATTATACTATAGGTCTTTAGTATATGTATTAAACAAACTATGTAATCTATATTCATTATCATTCAATTCTCAATCATGAGTGCAATAAAAAAGTAACGTTAAAATGCAGATAGTTCCTTCTGTAATTTAGTTACCGATTTATAATTCACATTGTAGACTTTTGATAGGTTATATCATCTTTATTTTATTATAATTATTTTTGGTTCCTTTGTGAACGCCTATGTTTGAATTCTCCGCCCGACACTTCTCGGATGAACAGCTAACTTTTAAAAAAAGTCTGTAGGAAGTTGATTGACGAAAGTGCAACTGGTTGATAGTTATGAAATGCAATATTAATCGATATCGCAGACATTTATTCAGGGCTTTGCTTCCTATTTTTACCTTCGCATAATGAACATATACATTGTGTCCCCGGATAGGTGAAACGACTCTTGTAAAAAATTAAAAAAAAAAGATTAATTTTTTTTATTTTTGGGGTTTAGCTCTGCTTGGTTAAAGATTAGTTTCTAACATAATTTTAGTTTTGAAAAATCACACCTTGGAAATTTTCAAAAAAACTATTTTTTTTTGTAGAGTAAATGCCTTTTATGTCGCAAATATGACAAAAAGTTATTAAGTAAAGTTGTCTAGAATCAACATTTAGGCCCGTATACCAAATTTGAAAATCATCGGCCAGCTATGATTTTTAATTTATTTTTTTGAGGTAACTATTAACTGTGAAAAATATATTTTTTTAGTTTGTGAATTAATTAAAAATTGGTCTTTAATTAAACAGGACTGAACACCAAAAAATAAAAATTTGAATCGATTTTTTTTGTTTTACAAGAGTCGTTTCACGTATCCTGGAACACACTGTATACTTTCAAAATTAGAAAAATGACCAAAATAACTGATGTTTTTTAAAAACGTGTTTTTATGCAATTTACTCTTATGTAATAAGTGCTTACAAATGCTCAATTTTTGAATTTTATCCGCATACGAAATAAAAATTGGATCTTATCTAGTGTAAATGAACAAAAACACGATTAAACCCGTCACACCAAACTTTTATTTCAAACAACGCGTTTCAACCACCCTTTCAAAAATTACAACGTTTTTAGTTAGTTAGTGATTAAGATAGATAAACTAGAATCATATTCATGCCGTCTCTTGATAGATGATAATTTTTTCTGAAAAACTGCAGTTTATGAATATTAATGAAACAGTGAATAGTTTGACAACTAGTGTCATGGATTTCCAAAAATTAAATAATTAAATGTGTATTTTTTGTATCTAGTATTTTGTGACTTTTGTATTTTTGGGTGCGTACATTAAACGTAAGCCTCGTAAAGTTGTGTGAAACACCCTGTATAAAAATTAGTTACTTTAGAACTTGGTAGCTGTTTTATTATATACAGGGTGTGTCAGAACTCGCGTCTCAGAAAAATTTCAAGTAAGATAAGCTACCAGGAACATGGAAAAAATGTTTATAAATTTCTGTCAAAAAATTTTGATGTTTATTTTTTAACATTTGACATTTTTTTAGGCCTCTTTAATGATACTGATGATCTTGTATATGTTTTTTTTATAATTATTTAGTAACATTTTCCCAATAAAAGCCAAAAATAACATTAAACAAAGTTACAATTTAGGATACAGCTATCTTGTTTCTTCTTCTAACAGAATTGAGTCAAAGTGCAAAAAAATTAAACTTAAACTTCGAAATTTTTTTAACATTTTTTCCATGTTCCTAGTATCTTACCTTTCATGGGATTTTTCTCTGGGGTGCGAGTTCCGGCGCACTCTGTATTTTAATTTTTCTGAAATTATCTCCGTCATTTTTTTGTAAATTCTTCATTATGATCTATAAGAATGGGAAGACTTAATTAAAAAAGGTGCACGAGTATCACCATAAACCTGAATCCTGTTGCTTCTATATTTTTTCAAATAGGAAGAAATTAATGTGCATAGTGTTTAATGTATAGGTTGGTTCTCAGTAACAGACATTTTACAGGGCGTTAGATCAAGACGAACAGAACAAAAATGTCCATAACTCACACCATAACTGAGAAAATAGTACAACTTCCTTTTAACTCTTTGTGCACATCGCACAACATCTCTACGTCGTTGCGAATAGTTTGCTCTGCTTCAAAAAACCGTTCTCATAATAATTGTGCTTTAAATCTAGTTTATGTTGCCTAGGTGTATAATAATGTTGAAATTGAAAAAAAAAAGACATTTTTCAAAAAATAAAATAATTTCAGTTTTAAACAGAAATTTTGTGATAACGAATTAAGAGTTTTGTTTTTTCTCTCGGTAACAGTGTGAGTTACAGCTTGTATTTCAAACTGGATATGATATATTTTAAATAAATACTAAAAATGAAAAAAAATACATACCGATTGTATTAAATTTGAAATAAAAAATACATATTTGTATTCATTATGTATGAATAAAATTGTGGAGGTGGTAAGTTTAATTTTCATGGTAATATATTTGCTACATTTAATACTTAGGTATTTAGTTATGACAAGAAAGTACCAATTTATTCATTAATAAATCATTAATCACTGGAATCAGTTTATTTTTTTAAATTCACATTTCTTGGAGGAATGCATTTACTTTCGCATAAGTTAAATATTATAATAACATAAGTTGTTATAATATAGTATAAGTTGACGTGTGAATGCCATATAAATTCTCAAAATTTATATTGTTTATTAAAAGATTTTTTTTATTAAGCGTGTATAGTTCAATTTGCCTAAATAGTGCAAATTACGAATGATGAAGCTTTTAGCTTGACACTTTGCAAAAAATTATAAACATTGTGAAAATGCTTCATTCCGATATCGAAATGGGTTACTAATTTTGTTCATCTTGTCATTATCTTGTAAGATTAGGGATTATTTAGTTGTAAAAATTACTCAAATAGGCATTTTTAAAAAATCTACTGATTACTGATATTATAAAACAGTTGAAAATGAAGAAAATTATTCCTTTAATTCTAATAATTACTACGTCACATAGTACTCCAGTTTTTTTTTGAATCAGTAGTTTACATTTAGTTTTTCGTTTTAACAGTAGATTATACAAATTTTTTAGGCTACAAATAAAACTATATAGATTTGTCTGTGAATCAAATTAACCACAAACTTTAAATGCTTCGTACATAATGTATGTGCTACCATCAGTAGAGTGTCTCGCTTAAAAACAGTTTTTTTACTTAAATGTGTGGTTTGTTTCTAGATCTAAGATTTTGTTTTTGAATAGCAAGTTAATGTGTGACTTAAGTTTTTAAATGGTGTAAATGGCTTATACTATCAACATACTCTAACATTTATTTTAAATAATTTTTAACTCGAGATGTATGAATTTACAAGCCGTAAAACATGTAGTAAATCCATATTTTTGAAAGAAAAAAAGCAAGTGTTGGCATATTTTTCTTAACGTTTAACTTAACAAATACAGATTTTTGTTATTAAAATTGGTAATCGCCAAAAAAAAGTTGCCATAATTTAACAGTGAAAAAAAATAATAACAAAATTTGAAAACAGACCATCCATCAATTTATTAAAAATAACAGAAATCTATCATTCTAAACTTGATAATGGAATGTTATTTTTTTATTACCATTATAAGTAGGAATTTTTTCACAATGACCCGAAATTTTCTCCAAAAAAAAAGCAATACAGGTTTTAGCCTCATTATTTATAGTATTAATTTTACTATGTTTCACTATTTAGAAAATTAACTTATCTCCTTTCAAGGTTATGAAAGCATTTGCTTGCTTATACAAGTAAATGTGATAGTTTCATTTGAATTAAGTTAACACGTTAGAAACATCTTTATGTCTCAGCATACGAGTTACGAGTATATCGCCGGTCAACTTGTTCCAATGTTTAGTACAATATTGTCGAAGTAAATTTGTATACAGAAAAATTAATTCATATTTTATTTGCAGGAGGACTCTAATTACGACGCTGTTTTTGAAAGTTTACTAAAGACAGAATCAGAACTTGTCAAACAACAACAGCAGCAATCCCCAAAGAAACCAAGAAAGGTAATGGTTGAAACCAAATAAACGTGATGATGATAATGTGGTTTTTTCCTTTTTTTTAACAGAGTGGGGCTAGCAAACGCCAATCGTCGGATTCTCCGCGAAATACGTCTGCGAAGAAGCCAAAACCACAATCTCCCTCACTGAAGTTCGACGAAAATGGTACATCGGAAGAACCATATGAAGAGGAAATTCTTAATCTACCCCCGATTCTGAGTAAACCGGTAAGGATTGTCACCTTTTTCCACTCCCTACTGTCTTCTCTGTTTTTGTATGATTAAAATTAATATTGTTGTTTTTGTTATAGGAGTCTCCGAAATTAGATTTAAATAAAGTCTCCGTTGATTTGAAAAACAAAAATATTTCCGCCTCTTCAATGGCTTTTGGCTTTATGGGACTTGGCAATATGGGGTCTAACGTCGTCATGAATTTGATCAATTCCGGACACAGAGTCAATCTTTGGAACAGATCACCGCAAAAAGTATGTACAGTTTTATTAACATTTATTTTTGAAATCTCAAAAAGTTGCAATATTTTGAATTGAATCTATTGAAATAACTAGCGCAGATGTCGCTGTTTTATCTTTCGCAAGTCATGCGAGCCGTTTTGTATTTCAGTTATAATATTTCAGTTGTGCAATAATTGAATATTTTAAATACTTGGCTATTTTTTCCAACCGAGAAGAATTTGAACTTTTTTGATACAATCAAATTTACTATTTCACTAAATCTTCAGCAATCGAACTAATGATAATCAATCGCGAAAATATTTAAGTATAAGAAATTTGTATTACAATTTGTTTTATTAAAAAAAAGGCTCTTAATTTTATTGTTGTTTCTGGCTTAGCGATTACTTAATATTTTATTCGTTACTGAATTGCATGATTTTTCCTGCAAGTATTCAGTAGAGCAACTCGAATTCATTTCCTCAGTTACTCCGTCACTCTCGCAACACAAATAATGAATTTCCTATAATTTATTTGTGAATTTTGCGTTTTAGTAAAAATTATTCCAAAATCAAAATCAGACTTACAGTTCTTAGAATATTTTATTAATAGATAGCAAATACATGCTAGTTTTAACACTTAATGAAATCACAATAACATTTCGATAATAAAAATAGTTGTATCTTAATTGGTACCCGCTTATAAAAAAACGTTCCCTATACCAGTGTAGAAATCATCAGCAGATGTGGATAAACAATATCTAGGACTCAAAACACCGAATGTCGTTTATCTAGGTATATAAATAGTAACTTTCTATAGTTACACTATCAAAACATTACATAATGAGATGATTCTTAATTACAGTTTCACAGCTAAAAAATTAAAAATGTACATGGCGCTATAATAAAACCTAATTTATACTTCGTTAAAATGTTCCTTAAAATTATGAAATTAGAAAAAGAAAAGTTATTCGTAAAGCGGCAAATTATTTTCCAGAAACAAGAACGCGGCGCGACTTTTTCCTTGAAGAATTGTCAGTCTTTTTTTATTCTTGACTAGCTAGTTCTTCGGTATACTGAGTCTAGTGTATTCTCCATTTAAACAGTTGTATAAACAGAAAATAAAAACGGCTCAAATTTTCGTTCTTTGTTTTGGCCACGAAAATGAAAATAAAAAAAATACAGCTTCCTATAGATTGGCACTAATGGAGCGGACTCTACACTGTGATAGCGTACTCACTTTATCACAGCAGTTGATTTAACTAGGCGGCGGCGAGTCTATAAAGCCGTTTCATGCCGTTTGCTTGTATCGTCAACGACGTCCCCGACCGACAACTCTGGTAGACTCGTGCTCAACTGTATATCACAAGAATTGTTCTTCATCAACAATTCCTCGGTACTATGTGACGTCTTGAGACTACTCCTATTAGTGCCATTGGACGTAATAGTTTCGTGTGAAGTCGAACCTGCATCGAAGAATGGTAACCCCATTGGTTTGTCACTTATATGATTTATGAAGACTTCAATAGACGGGTCTCCCGGCGAAAGTATCCTCGAACCCAAAGATCGTTCCGTAGGCGTGTAATACAACGATTGGCGGCTTTGCGTAACATCCGTGTTTGTCAGCTCTTCCAAATTGGCGAGTTTTTCAATCTTGGCTTTCAAATACACGTCGATGCTTTCGACGTCGTTCGGATCGAAGACGAGAGATTCCGCCCTTCCGCAGGTACCAGCTCGACAATTTTCGAAATATAAACTCGGAAGATTTTCCAAAACTTTGTTGATGTTTTGCTGTTGGTACTTGTAGGTTTCTCTCAACTGAAGTACTTTATGCGCACTGAATTTCCTTATTTTGTTTCTTTGGAAAATATAGTTTTCTCTAACCCAATTGAGTTGCGTGGTCGAATAGTCTCTGACTTTTTTAACCTGAAACAAAAATATCTGTGCAGTTCGGGAATTCTGGCAAGAATTCAATTATTAATTACCTGGTCACAATACTGGCCTCGTAGAGTCGACAAGTGTTGCGATCCGATGTCGCGAAAATCTTTAAGATGTTTAGTCTGAGTTTGGTAGCTGTTTTGGATCCATTCCATCTGCTGGGCGCAATTCTCTTTGATCCTATTAACCTATTGACCGGTTTGAATCAACCTTACCTAAGAATTTGTCTCCAACTTACCTGCTGAGTATAATTGTCTCTAAGTCTTTCCAATTGTTGAGATTTGTATTGTTCGATGTTATCGAGCATGGCATAGATTTGACGTGCCCGTGGTGACACGCGATCGCGCTTGCAAAAGCTGCAAAAATTGTTGAAAATACCGAACCTGAAAATAGATACATTTTAAAAATAATATTTCATGGCGCATTTCGTACGTATAAACAAATATATTGAGTCGTACTGTTTACCTTCTAATCAAATAACGTATAAGTTGGATGAAGAGTGTGAGAGCGAGGAAAGCCGTCGCACATTGCAATCCCACGATAAGACTCATAATCCGGACGTTATTCCAGTCGGTGGGGTCTATATGAAGAAGCACGTTTTCTGTTAAATTGGCGATGGGGTTACTTGCGTAACACGTGTACCGTCCGCAGTCACTGCGCGTCACGTTTTTAATCAGAAGAGTTCCGTTGTCCAAAACTTGAATCCGAGGAGGAATCACTCGAATCGGTATCATGAATGAGTCGTGAGCATGAGCATGTTTCTCAAAGATGTCAGGGATGGCGGGGTCCGGGTTCCAATGGAACACTTCCCTACTGGGAGTGACCCATGTGATGGAAGGCGGAGGATTCGCGGAGTAGCGACACTCGAGTAACGCGTCCGATTTGAGACGATATTGTTTTGTTGGAGTTTTGAAATTAAGACGAGGACCGGTACAGTTGAGGTGATACAAAGTCGGAAGCATATCGTTGGGATAGGCGTAAGGTCCGCAACTCAAATCCGATAGAATCAGATCGTGATGTCTCTTTTCCTCGGCCCACGGTGCAAACCAATACATTCGACAGTCACAAGCCCAAGGATTATCCGAAATGTTGAGTCGTTTCAACATTGTAAGGTTGGCAAGAGATATGGGCAAGAAAGTAAGAGCGTTTCCGCTGATGTCGAGCTCCGTAACTCGAGGAATGTCTGCGAAAACGTAGTTTTCAATTTCCCGCAATTGTTTGTTGTTTCTGATCCGAAGTGTTTCAAGTTTTGAAATACCAAGGAGTTCACTGTTGTGAAGTTCCTCAATGTGGGTATCGTCAAGTGTCAGAGATGTTAGTTCAGGACTAAAGTGTAGTAATCCAAAGGTGAAATGCATGAGTTTATTGCCGCTCAAATTTAATTCGCGGAGGTTCATCAAGCCGCGAAAAGTACCACTTGGGATGTTCGTAAGAGGGTTGCTCGCGAGATTTAAGTACTTCAGGTTTGTAAGTGAGTCGAAGAGTCCTTTCGATATGTACTTAATCGAATTGTGTGATAGATCCAATGTTTTGAGATCAAATAAATCAGCTAAAGCGTTCGACGTCAATTTGGCGATTTTATTGTTATTTAGTGCTAACAATTCGATGTGTTTGTTGAATTTGAAGAAATGGTCGAGAATGGCCACGATTTGATTGTACGAAATGTCCAAAATTTGCAATCGTTGCATTGGGGCGAATACTTGGAAAGGTATTGCTTGTAACGAATTGTGTGACAATGCGAGGATTCTTAAAGATTGATTGACGAAAACGTATCTGGGAAGATCGTCGATTGCATTATATGACAAATTCATTTCTTTTAAGCTAATATACTGCTGGAAATAGTAGTCTTGTAGTTTTGTTACATTGTTGTGAGTTAGGTCTAAAGTTATTAGCGATTGTGGATTGGCGATTGCTTTCTTGATATCAATGATTCCGCTGTTAGTCCATCGGAGGTGTTGTATGTTTTTTGCGTCGAAGTGTTCGCCTGTGACATTTTCGAAACTGACACGGGCCACGTTCGGATTCGGTTGAAAACCCTTCAAGTGCTTGTTTCGACATATTAAAAATGTCGAATTTGGATGAGAACATCCTACAGGAGCACGTAAAACAAGAGTACCGTCACCGTGACGCGTATGACTCGTTCCAAAAACAGGAAACGACACTAAAATGAAGATCAAGATCCGACCGGCACCATTTAGCCGGCTGTTATTTTCCATAATTCACAATACATTGTCCTGTATGATCTTGACCTCTTCCTTCCTTCCTTCCTATCTGCAAAGAGAAAAAATAGACCACGTTGTAAAATCGATATACTCGAAGCATCTGGTAAAAGAGAACCACCTTGAATACACTTGTCGTAAGCTATTTACGATTTGGAAAACAACAAACAAACGGTAGTTATTGCTTCTATTTGAAAAATACGTGTGTGATAAGGCGTGTTATCGCAGACGGTTCTCGAGATACTCACCAATCCATATGATAAAACCACGATTTATTTTTACTTTAATTGTGTTTAAATAGTCATTTAATGTAATAGAACACGAGGATTTACAGTTTAATAATACGATTTTTCACGATTGTGGAAGAATGCAAACACTGAACTACAACACAGAACGAAACACGAACCCTAGCTGTGGCTCCTACAAACTGTTCGTTGAATTCGCTTGTCACGAACGACAGTTCCAGCTGCGTTCTAGTGGGGAATAAAACGGACGAATCCATTTTACTGTTCGTACGAGGTGAGGCCGCTTGCCTTTCCCAGTTTCATAATGCTAATGTAACTGTTCTTCAACGCTAAGAAAGAGTAAATAGCCTAGTTTATTGTCATTCTATTTCATGCACCTGTAGAGGAATTTGACACAATGTCAATTTCGTCAGTTTTTTTAATTGACGTAAATTAAAATCTATCTACCAAGATCAAAGTCGACGTTTTTCTACAGCCGCATAATCCTATTATTGAAAACAATATTTATGTTACGATAAGGCTTCTTTCCTGTTTGATAACGCGTGTATCCTTTTCTCTAGGGCGGGAATTGGAGTAATCGATAACATTTGATATTTAAGCCTGGGCCGCATGCTTGCGCAATTCGAGTAATGTTATCATTCAAGGGTAGATTTTGCTGTATTTTTTGAGAGTCGTTAATAAAGCAGTGAGAGGTATTTTTAGATGCCCACACAGGCATCAAATCTTTACATTTAATAATCAGCGTGGGTGGGATGCATTACCTTTCGATTAAACTTGTAAATCTCTAAATTTAGTAACATTACATTACATTGTTTTTTAAAATAAACCTACATAACCGAATTGTATAAAAAATATTCACTGTAGCATTTAAAACTCGTTCCAAATTGGTGTTGGCATTCAAGGTCGTGTCAAAAGGGTTTAAAGAATTTTGCAATTGATATGGCTGAAGAGTAGATATTTTTTATCATAAATTAAATATCAATTTGATGCGAGCTTCAGGAGAATATAAGCAATTGAAAATTATTACCATCTTATCGTCCAATATGTTATCATATACATGTGTCAATTTTGTGATATTAATAGTTTTAAGTCGCCGGTAATGTTAATTTCGCATGTGCAAATTTAATTATTGCGATTGCGTAACTTGTATACACTTTATAAATACGACTCTGATATTTAGATAATAAAGTTTTCAAGTCGTTCATAACATCCTAACCTTTGCAACTCAACAACTTGTTTTAATTTAATTCTAAATTTGATTCCATTATGTACTTTATATGTTATAGCAAATGATAGTCCTATTTGAAGCCTTTCAAGGCTTAAAAGGCACCTCTAATGGTAGTTTATGACAGTTGGATCCCTTGGCGCCAAYGTCAACTAATTAACTAAAAAGGGTGTTGGATTATTATTGTTTTTGAAGAGCCACTGYAAGAAATGTATGCATATTTTTAATCATATTTTTCATGAAGCAGTCGACTATAGGATTCTTATAAATTATGAAATATCTCACTTGTGTCTATTGTGTTGTCGTATGGTGTAGACATAATGACCATGACCGGAACGTTTTAATTAAAAAAGAATATAATTATGTCAAGTCAATATTTACTGTCCATTGAAAAATGCAAAACTTTAGTAGCAAATATTGATTGTGTTTGCAACTATGGCGAATTCATTTTCAACTTTCGAGAAATGTGAATTTAATTAGTCCAAATAACTGTTTTGTAAATTTGGGAGAAAGTGAATAAAAAGGATCGACTTTGAGAGGTTTGTAAAATAGATTTTTCGATGTTTGATAATATTGATTGAAAAACGCAAATGCTTTCTCTGCAAACCATACTGCATCTAGAAAGTGGTGACCTGAATTCATAAAAAAATCTTGGTATTATAACCACATTGCACTTGGCGTTGTAACAATTAAAAATGCGTCCAAATCGAGTTAGCGTCCATTAGCTTAAGAATTCTTATGATAATGATTTATATTTGTAATATAAGTAACGTCTGTTTTTGGAAGAATACCAATAATCAATTAAAAATGATCTTTAATCGTCTAACCAAACGAGAAAAACAAACACTGGCTTTCTATATTCGAGATCAAGTCTTCAATGTCGAAAACAAGTTCATTTACTGTTTTATAACAGCGAATTAATCAAGAGTTCTCAAGGGTTAACTGCCATTGAGATACAATTGGTTGTTCTCAATGTTTTACCTTATAAAAATATTAATGAAATTGTCTGTTTTACTGTAATTATTTATTGTCTTCGATAGCGATAATAATCGCTACATTTACGTCACTATCGATCGTAATGGGACAGCGTAGAAAAATGGCCTCGAACGAACTAATCAGTCCGAAGATAATGTTAATGATTGGCTATCTTCAACGTTAATTTTGTTACTTTGTTTATAGTTTTTGTAATCTTGTAATTTTTTCATAACTGGTTGTGTAAAAGAAACATGAAGTAGAGCACAAACGTGAACGTTGGCAGTAATTGAAAGTGGTTTATTCATTTACTGGAACCGACATTTTATTACTGTGAGACCCGGATCAACCATTACTTTCAATAATCATAATTAAATATTGATTGTTTTTATCATTTGCTCGAAGAAAATTCTACTGTTTTCTGTCATCAATTTTCTTAGTTAGTAAAAGTCTTTGAACGTTTTAAAATAATCTAATCTACAGTGAAAAAATGTTTCTCGCAAAAACAAACATAATACATGATTAAAAATCACACATGTAGTTTTAGCTGATTCTCATAATAAATTTTACGTTTTTGCTAAATTATTTCTCATAAAATAATCAGTAGCGCTGTTATAAATGATAATTTTAATGAATTGGTCATTTTCAAAAGGGAAATAAATTTCTAAACAGATGGGTTGGATGAGAACTGATATTAATTGGCTTTTATCCAAGTATAAATAATTGGATTGATCAATAGAGCTTCTTTGGTTTGATAAAGTTAATTTAAATTTCTAGAACTATCTTGTGAGATTTATTTGATTACTCAGCTGGAGCATTTTTCTGTGTTAGGGTTAACACTAATTGTTACATTTATTTAACCGAATTAATCTTCAAGGAGAGTGTGCTTGCAAATTTTTTCCATTTCAAAAGTCGCATTCGTATATGTTTTACAATTTTATCTTTTTATATGGAAAAATGTATTACACTATTGAATTAGTAAGAATTCTTTCAATTAATAACTTAGATTTCCGGTCTGAAATGATGTTAATTTACGAAAATACGATTAGCTGTAACAACAGAATTGATTTGTTGTCGACTAAATAATAATTAGCGGGTTATCGACCGTTCACTTATTAAAAATTCAAAGCATATTTTCTCATTTGATATTAATTGGAGTTAATAGTTCTTGACATTTTGATGCAAAATTTTATTATGCCAGATTTGCACAATCATTGCTGATTTAGTCTTTGTTCCGAGTCATTCGTTAACGCTGCATCATCTTTTTTACTTTGGTTTGAAATAGTAAAATTGGCATTCGATCATTCGAAATAATAATTTTGCAGAAAATAACGTGTTTTCAAATTATACAGAGGTTCAATGCCTATTATTAACGATACAAAATCTTAAAAGAAATGAGTTATGTATTAATAAAAAATGTAAAAAATTAGTTTTTGTGTGATTGTTAAAAATTCGTTTTTGTTTCAGTGTGACGAAATCAAGGCCCAAGCAGACGCGAATCAGCTGGGGTTGGTACAGACATATCAAACCCCGTGTGACGTTGTTCAAAACTCTGACGTTGTTTTTAGCTGTTTAGCAGATTCTCGTTCCGCAAAGGAGGTAACTAATCATTTTTKGTCTTCTACTACAGTCATTACATTCTTTTATTTCACCAGGTGGTAATAGGTAACTGGGGTGTGATTTACCAAGCCGAAGATGCTACAGCTCTCCTTGGTAAAGGATACGTGGAGATGACTTCCATTGATCCGGATACGTCCAAAGACATCTGTAATATTATCGAAAGCAAAGGAGGGCGCTATTTGGAGGCTCAGATGCAGGGTAGCAAGAAACAAGCCGAAGACGGCAGTCTTATAATCTTAGCAGCGGGCGATAAGTCGCTTTTTGACGACTGTCAAACGTGTTTTAAAGCGATTGGTAAAACGGCATTTTATTTGGGCACCGTGGGCTCTGCCACCAAAATGAATTTGTGCATCAATATGGCTCTAGGGATCGGACTCGCCGGTCTTGCTGAGAGTATGGTTTTGGCGGAGAGATGCGGTCTGTCGTGTAAGGATTTCCTGGAGATATTTAATCTGTCAGAAGGAGCGTCGAACTATCTGTCGAATAAAGGGCAGTTGATTAATAACCGTAGTTTTTCGAAGGTCGAACAGGCCTTGGAATATATGCAGAAAGATATCAAACTATGTCTTGATATATCAAATGACGTTAAACAAAACCTACCGGTTGCTGCAGCCGCAAACGAGGCGTACAAAACAGCAAGACGATCAGGATATGACGAACATGATGTCGCTTTAGTTTTCATGAAGATGCGACATTAGTGAAAATATACAATGTTTTTTTCAACTTAGTTAACTTGGAACATAGTAGTGTTCTTCCACTGGATTCTTTTAATGATTCGTATCGATTTTGTAAATTTTTCCTTTTTTTTGAAGACATTACTGTGCCTACAACATGTTTACTGCAATCTATAATTTAGTTTGAATTTATGTCAAAGATTGAAGTAAAATACAGTACTAAAAATTAAGTCTTACGTTGTTTAAATTGCGTGAGTTATTTATTGCATTGTCGCTTTAATTGTAATTATTAGTAATTTACAATTTTCGACGTTTGTTGCATATTTTAAATTTTTCAGGATAAAGACAAATGTCTACATACTGAGTAGATTTATTCAACAAGTATGCAATTACTATAAATTGAGTTTGTAATTAACTTTTTGTTTAGGTGTTCCGTAAGTTTTTTATTACATAATGAATAGTTTATCAATAAAAGTATAAACAAGTACACACTGTTTTTTACGTCTTTTCTTATAGGTGCGATGGAAGAAGAATAGGTAAGAGAAATCAACTAATCAACCCATTATTTGCGAGTTTAAATATTTGCTTTATCATAAAATTGCTCTTATCTAATGTGATTACAATATCAGTCACAGTAAATCGAGATAATAATAGTGGTGTGCATAATTTAGCTTCCGGCACCAGCCGCTAGAGGCAGACTAGTGATGCAGTATTTATCTGTATTGTAGTTTGATTTTATGACTGATTAACAAACTTTAATTGAAGTTTTGTTTAATTACTTCCATTACTACGAGTGTAAAAAATATTAATACAATGTTCCGCTCATTTTGTGTTCGCTTTGTAAACAATCAATCATAGTAATTTATTACGTACATTTTTCAAATTTTTTCGAGACTGTTTACTTCATGAAACACATTTTTTCAATGTGATGTGTTTTATTAATCACTTTTCCAAAGAATAAGCACTTAAATAAAATGATGCAAATGATGCACCGTTAGTTTTAGATGGCGCCACCGTAAATCCGTTGAGGATATTAATAATTTACTCTTTAGTTATATAAAAATACATGAATTTAATGAATTTGTCCCAGATGTCTAAATTTCTTTCCGGAAATTATAAGCTCTCAAGTATCACTCTGCCGAAGAGCGTAATAAGTGTTAGTGGCTGAGGGTTTATAAGAAGTTCTCTTAGACGTAAATATCGTATTTACATTCGTAAACATTAAGCTTTAATCACAATGAGGTGACGCTGAGAGTTCATGGAGAGTAAACTAGTAAAGAAAAATTCACCGCTAAGCCAGTAAGCTAACAATAGTTACGTCCCAATTTTTCACATTAAATTCTTTTGTTCTTTTGATTAATTCTAAATTTTTCACTTTTTTGCTTTTTTTTTCTTCCTTTAATAGAAATTAAATATGTACAACAATTAGATCAAATGGTTTATAAAGTGGTATGTCAGATTAATGTACAATTTGGTATTCGTTCGAAAGGCTTATTTTTATGTTTATTTTATGGTGATTTACCGAGAATGAAAACATACTGACACATTTCTTTTAGTACCGTAATTCTTACGTCAATTTTATTTACATAAAGGTTGTCGGCGTTTGGCGTATGCGATGATCAAAGATGCAAAATGAATTTTGAGACCTTCATTCTTACACATCCATCACTACCTTTCTAATATTTGAATATTGCATGAGCCACTCTAAGGAAACTTTACCATGAATATTATTCTCAGAAGAAAAACACAAAAATCACTGTTTTTAAGGGAAACACTAGGAAAACATATTTTGATTTACAAATTAGAGTAGCGATTTTAGCAGTTGTTTGTGATTAGGTTTATAACATATTTATTCCATTGATTAGTAAAGCGCAAAGTATTAATTATGACACATTTCACAGTCATAATTATTCGCACTTTTTGGTGAACTTTTCCATACTGGCATAGAATTTGTAATAATTTATTGTTGTACAAAAGCAACTAGATACGAGGCAATCGAATTGTTTCACACTCAAGTGCTGTGAACCTTTTCGTCTTTGTCATGCACCCCCTGTAGAAACGGAAACAGAATATAAAGTTACGAGTGGTATCAAAAGCGGTTCTATCGATCTGAGAAATTAAGCTCGAAATATCACAGTTTGTCATTTTATCATAATATTATCGGTGCTTGATATTGTCATTAATGCAGAAGGTTATCACTGTGCCTGGTAACTACATAAAATTATGTCTGTAATATGCTTAGATATGGAAATTTATTACTCCAAACGGGATAAGCCAGAACTGAGTGATGGTGGCTAACTTTATTTTAAAAAATTGGGAATCATTGTTCAAGAAGAAATTTACTAAAAATAAAACTAACTCATCTGACTTCGTTAAGATTTTAAGGCAGACTTTATGGGGTTTTCAGTTGAAAAAAAAAACTAATTAATCAAAGTAATAAATAAGAAAGAAATTAGATTACTATCTACAGGGTGTTTACGGTCTTGAGGTTGAAATTTAAATGAGATGATATTCACGGTAGAAGAAAACTAAAACTATATAAAACAAAAATTCAGGAAAAGGAAATAATTCATTTTATACTATTTGTTTGAGAACTGCTGCTTCGACTGCAACAATAGCCATTAGCATCACTACCTTGTGTTTTCACCATAAATCATAATTACGACAAACAATTTATTATTTTAATATTTTTTGCCATCCATGACCATAAATTTGGAAAAAATTAAGAAAAACGAATGAAACCTATTGGAAAATTTCGCTGGAAGAGATTAAACAGAAGACCTGATCCTCAAACCGTGTACCAATATTTTGGAGTTAAGTAACATTCTTAATAATAACAATTGTATGAGTTTTTTTTCTCGGTGACAGTATTTCTGTACTCTTCTAGTACTAGGTCAATTTTCAACTCCAAGACTGTAAACACCCTGTATTTATTTAAAATTATTCTTTTCATCATAAACAAAATGTGTATTTTACGTATATGTTTAAAAAAACTGATAATTTACATAAATTTAGTCAAGGTTGATTTATAGATATTGCAGCTTTCTGGGAAAGCTACGAAAAATCTTTCCACTGCTTTTTCTTTTTATTTGGTTTTGTTATTTTGATACCATTTTTTTATTGTCAGTTTTTGGTACATATGTTACGTTTTTGTATGCAACTGACTATTAATTCGCAAAGAATTGTTTACCAAAAGAGCTTCACAGTTACATGGTAATAATTAAGAAGAATTTAGATTGAGAGCAATTCAATTATTCGAATATCAAAGCCGGGTTTAAGCTCCAGATGATTATTATTTCCGTGGAAAATACCTCCACCCGTGAATCTTGGGATGTTCTCGCTACGCTACGCCACTGATATTTGCCTAAAGCCTTATTTCCCTCGAGCGATTATTGTTTGATTACTCGCATTGGGTATTTCCCCTGACCATAAAATTAGTTTCGAGGCCCAACGGCGGCTCCAGTGACACTTTTTGTCAAAAATCCTGGGACACAAAAGGTCTTCGGTCCGATTATCGCTCTTATTATCGTTTTCCGGTCAATCAAATTGAAAAACTCCAGAGAGGATTAATTATGCTCTACAGCTGCAACGTTAAATCTCGTAGAAATAATTTTGTAATCCAATATCCAGTAGTCAGCGGTCTATTCTCTTTGCGCATCTTGATCAGTGTCCTCGTGTCGCTCAGGCGCACGATGCTTCTTCTCAATAGTCCCGCCCACTCTTCATTCTCAACAAACACCCTGTCGAGTTGATTGTGTCTCGTGCGTTTCGAAATTTTTTTAACAACATTCCACCACCCTGAAAATTGATCGCTGAAAAAGTTCATAAAGGTGATTTGATGCGCTGGTGCAGTGTTGTGGTCTAAAAATAATCAAAACGTGCAGTGGTCCATTTTTTTTGTTGCATAATTGTGTGAATCGTGACCCATTTGTTTATTTGGGGCCACCCCATAATGGGATAACCGACGATGGAAGCGCTCAGGCATTTCCCGATCGAAAGGTAAAACCCCTCGAATTTTATGTTTTGTATTCCGAATAAGTGGTCGACCGGGAGGCGACAGTCTCGGAATAAAATTATTGTCTGGTTCTGGGCACCCCCCACAGACACCGGCGACCCGAGAAGCGCGGATCATTAAAATACGATTTAGACATGGAGAAAACCGATGCCGGACCGATTGGTTTTTAAAAAACGGGGGAAACATTTTTTATTTTTTAATTGAGTGTTATTTTATCTTAAGTAATTTATTTAAACAACGATAACAAAGTTATGTACTTTATAATTTATTAATTTTTGGCCATTGATTATTGTTTGAGATTTTATATACCTACTTATGAATCAATGAAATACAGGTGCGCCAGAACTCGCGCCCCAGAGAAAAATTTCAAGTAAAATAAGATACCAGGAACATGGAAAAAATGTTCAAAAATTTCTGTCAAAAAATTTTGATGTTTATTTTTTAACATTTGACATTTTTTTTATGTATATTTAATGATACTGATGATCTAGTATATGTTTTTTTACAATTATTTAGTAAAGGTACAAAAAGTTTGCCAATAAAAGCCACAATTAACATTGAACAGAGTTACAATTTCCTTGTTTCCTCTTATAATAATAGCCTGTAGCAAAAAAAATTGAAAAATTATTTTTTCAGCAGAAATAACTAAGTGTCAAAGTGTAAAATTTAAACTCTCATAACTTCGAAATTTTTATAGATAAAATTTTTTTAACATTTTTTCCATGTTCCTGTTACATATCTTACTTTATATGGCATTTTTCTCTGGGGCGCCAGTTCTGGCGCAGCCTGAACTTGTTTGTAGAAAAAAATGTGTATGTGCTACATTATAACACATCTTTTCTGGCCATTGTCTACTCACGATAAGTGATAACACTAATTACCATCATTAAAAAATCATTTCATGATTTTCACTAAGTACATCCTTTGTTTACCTCAAAAACTATTTTGTATTTTCAATTTTAAAACTGAAAAAAGCATGCAAACATTTTTGTTTTCAAACTTTTTAGTTTCCACTCGTGAAATGGAAAAGATCCTGAAAAAAACATTCTTAGAGTGATACTTAGTTTCCCACGTAATTGTTTGAAAATTTCCCACCGACAAAAAGCGCGCATTAGCCAATTTGGCACTGTGTAAAAACGCCGGCTTCCAAGAACCCCAATCATCAAATCCGTGCATTTACACCGACAAAAAGACGTTTAGATCGTAAACAAGTTAGTGGGCGTTGTTGCTTCGAATTTTTATCATGAGTACGGCCCCCGTGTTTATCTTGACTTTTTATCAACGAACCAACAAACCGGGGGGCAATTTGTGACGTTTTTACATCATCCTGAATGTCTAATTTTCTCCTCCAGACTAATTGACTCTTTCAGCAGATGAAAATTCACGACAGGTGCATTTTTCAATTCATTGACGATTAATTAAAATTGTTTTTGTTTGACGCGTTTGAGTTTTTCGCAGAATAATTGGATTCT